CGAACGACGAGCAGCGGGGGGCGACGAGCGAGCGACGGGCGAAGAGCGAGAAGTTGTCGAGACTTTCCTCTGTTTAGCAGGGGAAGGGGGGAGGAAGGAACAGACACCTGATGTACACGATGCACATCGTGTACCGCGGTTGGTCCCACAAGGACGAACACAGGGGAAGTCGGGGTGACGAGATTGCTCGTCACTGGAAGTTAGGATCTGTTACGTTCTGGGAAGTTTGATTCACTCACCGGCAGCGATCACATTCTTCGCCCTTGGGAGCAAGCTCCCACCTTCCAGGTTGGGCCGCGAGGAGGGCCAAGAGACTCGCCGAAGTTCTTACCGTTCCCGGACGAGGAACAGGCGAGGAAGAGGGGGCTTCAACCCGTACCCGTTTGCGAGCGGGGGTGGGCGAGGACAAAGCGGACGAAGAGGAAGAGGACACCGATATTGGTGAAGAAGTTCGTCGATGTCTCTTCTTAGGAGACCGAAGGATGGAAGATTTTCTTCTTAAACTCGCCTCTTTCGAGGGAGCTTTTCTCTTGGCCGGAGTCGAGGATGGACCGGCGACGGGAGCGGGAGGCGCGGAAGACGAGGAAGACGCCGACAGAGAAGGGAGAGCGGCCGACAAGGAAGAGAGGCGAAGGCCAGCCGAGCTGGCAAGGCGGCGGACGAAGGACGAAGGAGGAGCAGGAGGGGGAGACTGGACCCGGGACACTAACATCAGCCATGACACGAAACTTCTCCACGAAATTCTTAGGCAATTAGAACTTACTGCTTCGAGTCCTTCGGGCAACGTTCGAAGGAGGAGATTTGACGAGTTTTCGAGGGGTAGACGGGGCCATGGTGGGTATGAAGAGATGAATTTAGTGAGAGAGTTGGTTGAGATGTAAGAAGAGAGTTAGAATTGAAGAAGTTAGGGGGGGAAGTTCGTCGACTTACAAAGTATAAGGGGAAATTCGTTGCTGTTGACAACAGATAAGGGCGTTCCCGTCGTCAACGTTGTGTTTCATGGAGTCCAGGATACCACGAAGATCCCTGGATACGAGAGAAAATTTTTAGGCTAAGGGGTTTCCTACTTGCACTCATGGATACTGCACTCACGAACAGATTATTGCTTCCCATTCCCCATACATAAAATTCCGCAGAACTTCGTTCAACCCGACGTCCCGAGCTTCGTACCTCACGAACTTCGTCCCCGACGAAGTTCGTGCCTTCCTAACTTCGTATCCTCCTAACTTCATATCTCCCTAACTTCGTATCTTCCTAACTTCGTATTTTCCTGGAATTTCATTACGGGAATTACATTGTCAGGAAGTTGGTTTGAGGAGAAGGGTGAGAACCGAACTTCATGCTGAGTTGTTTTGTTCTTTTCGGCGTTGATGTTCGCTCACGAGGACGTTCGCGCTCAAGGAGGGGGCGACTGTCACGCGGCGCCGCGTGACACATTGCTAGTCGTCAGTCGCTTCTAGTTCATTGTGGTTAAGTTGCTATAACCCTTCTCTGGTGTACCTGGTATGTGGTGCAGCCATGCATGGTGGCTGGTCAGTCATGTGAGCCTGCATACTGCTCCCCATGCAGACGTCATGATCCGTTGACAACTGTCAGAGGGTGTTGAAATCAACCCGTGATATCTAGTCCAGGTTCTTTTTGCTTTCTGCACTCTTCCCTAGTGATATGTAGCATGTAGCATACTATGGAAGACTCCCAGCATCACCTTGTATACATCTGTACAGATTAGGTTGGCTTTGAGTGTGTAGTTGAAAGGCCAGAATGATAATAGTGGATATCACGGATCTCAAGGGAAGTCGCCGAAGGGAAGTTCTGCCTGGGACTTCCCGGACACCGTACTAGGCCTACTTACTCTATATATATCTAACTTGAGCTCTTACCTTGCCTCATCCAACAATAATAATACTGTTTTTGTATACTTTACTCTTCATCAGGATTCTTTCGATAGATCCATCCCTCAGTGTATACAAAGTATAGTCCAAGTCGCATAAAAGAAATCACTGGAATTAGTTGGTGACCATGTCGGACTCGGAAAGCTTCGAGTTGCCCGTTGACCCTCCACCCAAGATTCCCCCTATTATTTCCTTCAATCAGTTGACAGAACTCGACAAAGCTCACCCCCTGTATTCTCTTTACGACATTTCTGCTTCACTTGAACCGATATTCAAATCGTCCGCCCAACTCGCCACCAAAACAGGTCTGATGGACTTAGTCCATCAATTGGAACGCTTCAGAAAAACTTTGGGCGAAGTATGGACCGAAGAACCTCAAGTCACTTTGTCGTGAAAAGAGATACCAGAATGAGTATCTCAAGTCGGCTGCTGCTTACAACAGAGAGGCAACCGAGCTTGACACTTATGTGCTTCGTGTAATGGAGGACCTTGTGCAGAGACTTACTGATCCAGGAGGTGATCAAAACTCGTCGGGCCCACCAAGGGCTACGGAGGACATATCGTATCTCACCCCAGACCTAAGTCCTGTCCCGAGTCCTGTCCCGAGTCCTGAGCCCTAGGAGAGGATGTGAGGAGGATAAATCGTCCGGCTCGAATACGGTACAGCCAATGGTACGAGTACTTTACTGTGCATACTAGTCAGGGTGGAGTTGATGAGGTGATGTTTGGATGCACGAATGAGCTCGAGATGAATTTCCCGTATGATCAATCCCTTCCTTTAGCCATCCACCATACGAGTTTGGGACAAGGCAATGGGTGATGATCACTCTGCATATGTATCAAACATCCTCTGCTGACAACCCTTCACAGGAAACATGAAATTGCATACCATTCAACCTTTCTCAGATCTCTCTTCACACAAAACACATGACACGCCTCGCGATACACAAAGAACCTACGACGCATGGGTGATCTCCACCACCAGGTCACCCTGCGCGATGGAATCATTTTCCACCACCAACACACGTTTGACCTTGCCCGAAACGGGGGATGAGACTACTGATTCCATCTACACGTTAGCGACATCTCCTATAAAGGTTTGGTGTCTTCATTTTGAGATCGACCACATCAAAGACTGGGTAGATGACAGGGTGATAGACGGAATAAGGTTGGAAGACATTTCTCACACCCACCTTCATAGCGCTCAACACGCATAATGGATCCCCGGCCTTCACTTCTTGTCCCTCTTTCACCCTCACATCAATCACCACGCCTGACATTGGTGATCCCACGCTTCCTGGGTCACTCGTCGCCTTCTCCCTAGACACATTCTCAATAGCCGCGTTTCGATCCGTAATGACCACGGCACGAGTTTCTCCGTTCAACTCGAAGAAAACTTCACGGGTGCCTTTTTCGGTGTTGAGTGGTCCGACGGCTAAGAGTTTAATGGTGAGTGTTTTCCCTTTTTCGATGGAAATGTGCATTTCTTCACCGATACCCGGTTTGCCAAGGAAGAATCTGGTTGGGAGGACGCTGGCGGTCAGCTGGTTACTCTTTTGCTTTCAAGCAGGGAGCAGGGATAGCAGGGATAGCAGGGATAGCAGGGATAGCAGGGATAGCAGGGATAGCAGGGATAGCAGGGATAGCAGGGATAGCAGGGATAGCAGGGAGAGCAGGGAGAGCAGGGAGAGCAGGGAGAGCAGGGAGAGCAGGGAGACAGGAGACATTAAAAACAAATACCCACCTCAAATCCCCATACTTCTCCACGAAACCTTGAAACTCCTCAAACACTTTCGGGTACATACAATAACTCGCCACATCAAAATCATTGATATGAGCCCCATATTGCTCTCTCAATTCCCCCTTGATCTTTTTAAAGTCCAAAGGTTTCATACTCAACCCAGGTCTCTGATCGATTCTCGGTTTATCACGTATAATGTTTGATCTCAAAGGTTCCGGGAATCCTCCATAAGGTTGACCCAAATACCCTTGGAAAAACTCCACTACGGAAGATGGGAAATCGAGTTGACCAGCTCTTTCCAATACATCTTGTTTAGAAAGATTGTTAGAAACCATGAATTGTGCGAAATCACCGACAACTTTGGAAGAAGGAGTGACTTTGATTATATCCCCACAAAGTTGATTAGCTTCTATGTATTTCTTTTTGATTTCCAACCATTGAGTTCCTAGACCAAGTTGAGAAGCTTGGAATTGAAGGTTCGTATATTGTCCTCCGGGCATTTCATGGTCGAACACACCTGAATCGGAAGCTCTGACGTTGGCTTCGAATGGAGCGTAAAGAACTCGGATTTGAGACCAATAGGTGTTGAGAGCTTGAATGTTTTCGTGAGAGATACCGGTGCCGAGATCGGTTTGTTCCAAAGCTGAACATACGGCTCCCATGGCAGGTTGAGAGGTTAGACCGGAGAGATCATCAATGGCTACGTCGACAACGTCCGCACCAGCCATAGCGGCGGCAATCATGGAAGCAGCGGCGATACCGGCAGTGTCGTGCGAATGAACGTGTATGGGAAGATCAGGATGAGCTTTACGGATAGCACCGATTAATAATCGAGCAGCTTCAGGTTTGAGTAATCCCGCCATATCTTTGATACCCAACACATGAATACCTTCGTTGACCAATTGATCAGTGAGGTCGAGGTAATATTGCAATGTGTATTTGGTCTTCTTGGGGTTGGCAACGTCGCCTGAATAACAAATGGTACCTTCTACCACACCACCAGCTTTCTTAGCTGCATCAATACCGAGCTTCATATTCTCAAAGTAGTTGAGCGAATCGAATACACGGAAGATGTCAAGACCGGCTTCGACAGCTTTTTTGGAGAACTCGTAGATAGCATTGTCGGGGTATGATGTGTAACCGACGGCATTGGCACCACGCACAAGAGCTTGGAGGGGAATGTTGGGTACGAGTTTACGAAGAGTACGCAATCGGTCCCAAGGGTCTTCATACAGGAAACGCATGGCAACGTCAAAGGTTGCACCTCCCCAACATTCGAGCGAATAAGCGTTCTGTAAAGCATGACTTGTCTCTCTTGCAATGTTGGCCATGTCGACGGTACGCATTCGAGTGGCAAGTAGAGACTGGTGGGCATCTCGCCATGTCGTATCCATGATCAGACATCCCTTGTATTCCCGAACGGCTTTCGCAAACGCAGCGGGACCTTCTTTGACGATGATGTTTCTCCAGCCAGTCTCGCATGGTACCGAAGTGTCGACGATCTTCGTAGGGTCGGCATTGTCCCTGATGCTCGGGATGAGCGCTTCGGTTTTGAGACCAGGTTCGCCACTCTGACCTTTGATCGACGACCCATTGACGGCCATATCACCGAGGTAGGCGAGAAGTTTCTGAGCTCGGTTCTGGGAGTGGACGAGCTTAAACAATTGAGGTGTGTCGTCGATGAAGGTAGTCCAAGTTTTACCAGACTCAAATACGGGATGGGTGAGGAGACGCATAAGGAATGGGATGTTGGTCTAATCATCAGCTGCGTCTAGATTATTGGACATTTGACCTCACTTTGACACCACGGATCCGGAATTCGACCAAAGCACGGAGCATCTTTCGACGAGCGACCTCAAAGGTTGCCCCACTGCACGAACACTTGACCAGGAGAGAATCATAGTGCGGCTGACAGCGTCAGATACTGATCCGCGTCGCAGACACAAAGACTTACAGTGATCTGGGCACCGGCATATCCGGAAGCTGCGTCCAATCGTACACCATTGCCGCCCGCAGATCTGTACACTTCAATCTTCCCCGTGTCAGGCTGGAAATTGGCAGCAGCATCTTCAGTGGTGATACGCGACTGGATGGCAAAGCCACGACGATGGATGTGCTCCTGAGTGAGGCCGAGTTGTTCGAGCGACACGCCTGCAGCGATCTGTATCTGAGCAGCCACGATGTCGATACCGGTGATCTCTTCGGTGATGGTATGCTCCACCTGGATACGTGGGTTGATCTCGATGAAGTAGTGTCGACCTTGCTGGTCGACGAGGAACTCTGCAGTACCCGCGTTTCGGTAACCGACGGCGTGAGCAAGTTTGAGAGCATCGTCAAGGATTCCTTGGCGAATAGACTCGTCCAGATGAGGTGCCGGGGCGATCTCCACAACCTACAGCGTCAGCTCTGGCCTTTACAAAGACTCAAGACCAACCTTTTGGTGTCGCCTTTGCACAGAACAATCACGCTCGAAGAGATGAACGCAGTTGCCTTGAGAGTCGGCCAGGAGTTGAACTTCGATGTGCCTAGGTCTGTCCAAGAACCCTTAGCAGATCAGCATGAGTCTTCTCAGGCGAAATCGACAAACTCACGCTCAATGAAGACTGTCCCATCCCCAAAGGCACTCTTCGCTTCTGACACAGCCCGTTCAAAGTTCTCTTTGAAACTGTCCTGGTCCCTCACCACTCGCATTCCTCTTCCACCCCCTCCCATAGCAGCTTTGATGATGACAGGGAAGCCATATTGCTTAATGAAATCCGCTGCCAGCTCGTATGACTCGACTGGGCCGTCTGTACCAGGTACGACAGGAACGCCGGTCTTGATGGCAACAGTGCGAGCCTTGGTCTTGTCACCTAGGGCGTCGATGGTTTCTGGTCTGGGGCCGATGAAGGCTATTCCGGCGTCTTCTACTTTCTTGGCAAATTCTGCGTTTTCAGACAGAAAGCCGTACCTATGGGTCAGCGAAAATCCATCATTTACTCCTTTCTTTGTGAGAAGGTGTGAAGAGGGGACGATGAGCGAGTGACGTGAAAGGAACCAGTTGTTAGTGTATAAGAAAGGATGAGACAATGGTATATGAGACCTGTGGGGATGTGACTCACCCAGGGTGGATCATATCGACGTTGTGCTCCAAAGCTATACGTATGATTTCATCCTGAGCCAAGTAGGCAGCGACGGGAGTGAGACCTTTGCCGATAATGTAAGATTCGTCCGATTTGTACCTATGAGCACTCATTCGATCTTCGTACGAGTAAATGGCGACTGTGGTCATGGCCAATTCGTGGGCGGTCCGGAAGACCCTGATGGCGATCTCTCCTCGATTGGCGACGAGGACTTTCTTGAGACGACCATGATGCCCTGCTTGTCTTTTTCTCAGATTATGGATGCTGGGGGTGAGTGGGACCTATGCATGTCATCTCGAGTGACTTACGATGGGACGGCAGGGGAGCCTGGTGAACCGGGGGTCGAGTCTACACCGAGATGAGTGACCCATGAGGCAATCTGTTGATGAGTATGAGGCATGATAAACGTGTGTGGAGGTGAGGGGGAGGAAGGGTACAAAGAGAACGTAGCAGACTTCAGGAAGAGTATGAAAGGGAAGCGAGGACGGGTGGATTGTGGAAGAGGGGATGAAGGGGAGCGAAGACGGAAGAGGGGGAGGGGGAAAGGGAGTGAATATATAGGAAGGACAAGATACCCACGGCTGATGGGGCCTCGGCCATGGTGTTCGAGGAATGTTTGATGGAATGTAAATGCCAGATGGATGGGATGGAAGCAAAAAAGATGATAACGGCAGTGGTGATGGTACAAAGGAGGGGGATGAGTATTCACAGTGTGGGGGGACTAGATTAACTACTACTTACCTGTATACCCGTACTACTCTCGATCACTCTCTTCCTCTCTTCCCCCTATCTTTCTCTTCCTTCGGCGCCCCGCCTATACCTCGGCCCACCGCACTCGACTCGGACGTCCGCCATCCAATGACACCTCTTCCGTTGTCTGTCATGTCTTTGGCTGCGTACTACTCTACGTCAGAGGGTCAATCAACGATCAACGATATGCTTCTCAACACCGGGGTTCCTCCGTCGACATCATGATGCATCATCGCTTGATAGATTGCAAACCGTACGACGAGAGATAAGGCAACTCGACCTCCACCCATGATAGCATCATGGAGTAGCGATGTAGCAGCATGGCAGCGATACGACATGCAGCTCTCCCCCACTCGTTCACTTCGCATACGTCGCAAGCACTACTACTGTAGTACTGAGCGATACAGTAAAGGAGCTCTTCCCTGGTACCGGAAGACGTAACACCGGTATCGTCAAATGACGGCTTTAGTTTAACCGACTCATTCCAAGTCAAAAGTCAGTTTAGCCTGTTGTTGTAGAGTACCCTCCCATCTCTTCTCGTGACCCTCTCAGATAAGTCGCCATCAAGCGACATGCAACATGATGGATACATTCCGAATACTGATGAACCTCGGCACTTTAATTCATCCTCTGACTGTGTCATGGTTCCCCCACGCACCTCGCACCTGGGAGTCGAGGAGGGTAGGGAAGAAAGTACCGCCGGCAATGAACATGTGGCAGTTTGGAGTCACCGGCAATGCACGGACCCCAAATCACCTCGGGGATGTCGGCCGTTAAGTCCGATGGCAAGCCTACCGACCCCTGGGGACAAGTCAGCTTCACGCCTATTGTTTCACGCGCCTCTCTTTCTTTTCGAAATTGACGCGACGTCCGACGCCGACGAAGATATCATAAGAGCGGCATACGAGTACGATAGATTATGGACGATACATGATGGACACTGGCTTAGGGACAGATCATTCAGAAATCACCTACCAGTCCGTATCTTCTACCCTTCCTCACTCCATCACTTCTCATTCTCTCTCACCGTCTTACCGTCCAATTCCAGCAGCGCTAGACATCTCTCATACCACTGAAATTTTAGTGCTCACGAAGTCGCTAATTGACTAGACAACAACCCTCTCGACCTATATGGTACCTCTCCCCTCTTCCCCTCCCGACCACTCTCCGTCCCATAACTCGCGGACCAACAGACTCCCTTCACTCTCATTGTCTAACTTCCATCTCTCGGAATTTTCACCTCTTCTCTCCGTCCTCTTTCACAGGCATAGACCCAAGTTTCATTCGCCGAATCTTGAGTCGAGTCCGGTCTGATAGATCATACGAATCTCTTCAAATCTCAGGTGGACGGACTTACAAACCTGACGAAACGACCATATGGGGATTAGCAGCTTTGTTAGATCCTGATGGGACCGCTCAATCGCATACTTTAGCATTACCTCCTATAGATATATTCTCTTCTTTACGTCATACCTCTCAACCACGTTGGCTCCAGGATCTCGAGGAAGACAATGTATTTGAAAAAGAGAAGAGGATAGAGGAAGAGGATGAAGGAGAGAAAGAATTTCCCTTGATAAGTTTACCTAAAATGTTTGAGAAAAGATATGATAATTGGGAATTCCTAACTACTCTCAGCTTGACCCAGATGAACGGAGCGGTGAACGATGAGAGTATAATGGGATTGAGGTGGTGTACTCACTTAACAGTATTATGGACTAGAGGATGTGGGATTACAGATGCTGGTGTTAGACTTTTAGCTGGATCATTGGACCTTCCTGGAAAGCTTCTTGATTCGACGGATCAATTTGCGACAAGTAGACGATCGTGTGCCAATGCAGAAGAGACAGAGCAGGGCAATGGAAATGGGAGAAGAAATGGAGGAACTCGAGAGGGGATAAAAGGAAGAGGAATGTGGAAGTTGAGAGCTTGGTATCTTCCCGGATGTAGAGGAATTTCAGATAAATCAATGAAGGTATTTGCCAGATGGCCTGGTTTGGTACTTCTGGGTGAGTAGTCCTGCTGGAGATCGCTATATACACCTCCATTTCGGGCCTGTACTCTGCCGCATTCAATTTTATGCCCCGGTCTTACTCATTGCCGGCCCTGTTGTGCGTAGAAGATGGAGCTCTGTTGAAGAAGGTTTTGTGGGTGGAGTCGACTGACAACGGTTGCCTTTTTGGATCAATCTGACGACCAGACGTTCGAGATACATCATGCACAGAAGTTTCCATGAACATTTTCAATAAATATTCTCGACAATACTTTTCGTGTCAAAATGCAGATTTTCAATCATGTACCGAAGGGTTACGTCAATTATTTTCTCCTGTCACTCCGACCAATGAGATACTCAAAGATTTAACACTCACTCTTATGCCTCTGAGTGAGAAACGTTATTTAAGTTTGAACGTTGTGTCATCATATCAACCATTAGATCCAACTTGGTTACCTCGATTACCTAAACCATCTTTATCCACACGTTCTTCCGCTTCTATACTACCTACGAGCGATTCTTTCCCCTTTCCTCAACATACTCAAATCTTTACATCGAAGTCTTTCCACTCGGAAATATCTTCCTCTCCCCATCCGCCCTCCTCTCCTTATTCCAATTCAATCTCACAATATTCTTCCTCTCCCCATCCCTACTCATCCCCTCTCCCTTCACAAACACACCCACCAAGTTCCCCCCTTCCGAATTCCTCTCAGACGTCTTTCGTATCTTCCCAAACACAAAAAAACACGTCAAATTCTCAACTACCTCAAACATCTCAAGGAATCTATCGAAGTCAATACCATCCTCAACCTCGACCCCAACCCCAACCTCTTCAACCCTCTCAACGTCCAACATCCGTTTATCGATCAGACGGTATAGGTAAATTGTACGGTTCAGGAGTTTCTTCAATACCTGATCCTTCAACCGAGCGTCGTCAAGCTGCAGAAAACCGTCGAATGGCAATTCAATCAGCTATAGACTACCAGAATCAATCATCGCGTAAAAAAAGGAAAAAACAACCATTAGATAAGTATCAACCTTGGGTGAGAAAGAATGAAGAGTTGGACCCATGGGAAAAACTTGTTCCGATGGCAGGAAAGGTTTATAAAGAGAAAGCTGCGGAAGCTAAGAGGAAAAGTAAAGAATTCGTGGCTGCTACTTTGAGAGGTAGAAGAGTGGGTGAATCGGAAATTTCAGAGAAGGGAGTGGTGAAAGGAGAAAAATGGGCGATGATGGTAAGGATTGTTTCTTCGAATTGGGAGGGATTACAGTGGAGTTTTAGGGAAGAAATGGGGAAAGAAGGGTTGGATTTGGATTTGGGAATGGGATTGAGGAAGAAAAGGGATAAAGGGTTGTTAGAGGGTTTGTTAGGATCTACTCGACAATATTTGGATGATAAGGAAATGGATGAGAATGATGAGTGTCATCAAGGTATTCCACATGGGGAACTCTATGGAAATGGAGAAAGATTTGAGATGAGACGTCATGGTATTGTGTCAGTAGAGAATAAGGAAGAAGAAAACTTGAAGAAACCTATAAATCCATTCCGTGTTTCAGGGACAAAAACGAATAAATTAGGTATCAAACCTCTCAATATTACTACCAAGCCTACTATCATAAAACCCCACACTTCTCCAAGTTCACAATCATCAGTCTTATCTGGGCAGGATAATTCGTTTCAGGACACAACGAGCAATCTCACTTTCCGATCTATTCCCAAAACACAATCAAATCCCTCGACATCGAATCAAAATATCAGTACTAAATTCCCATTTGAGACGTCAATCTCTCATACTACAGTACATGAACCTCTATCTGAGTTGACCAAACATGAACCAATAGAGCATATATCTTCTGAATCGAAATTATCTCAGAAGAGGATTCAGACTACGTTGAAACCGTCCAAATCTCAATCAACTTTGAAAGAAACATTCTTCCGTTCCACACTTCTCACACCTTCCAACACTCATGACGCACTCGATTGACTCGACACTCTTAATCAACTCGACACCCTTGAAGCACTCGACCAATTCAATACAATCGACATCGAAACGCCCATTTGAAGGTCCATCAAATACTTTACCTAAAAAGTCTTTGAAGATGTTTCAAAACACCAAATAACAATATCTTCCGTCAAATGACTCATACATTCGTATTCTTACTGTAACTGTATGACTACAGTATATGGTTGGTTCTACACTACATTCAGCCCATGTTACATTCTGATGCAGCCCTCATCCTCCCTCTTTTTCACAGATCGTGAGGTTCAAAGTGAGATCTGATCAGCAAAGATGAGAGGTCGGGTTGATATAGAATACGCATGGTAGGCCGGGGGGGAAGGGGGATCAACATAGAATAATCAGAGACGTGAGTATCCAAGTAGAATGTCTTTTCGTATCCAATGTGTCTCTATCAGTGAATGTCTATATCCCGGGACGGTAAAGAGGGTATTTAGTCTTGATATATGATATTTCTTATCAACATGATGTATTTTCTTCAAGGTTCAATGATCAGTCAGTACATTCAGTAGCAGTCTATTGTGGTTCAAATGTATGAAAATGAACAGTTTGCGCAGGTAATTTCCTCAATTCATCAATTACGAACCTCGTAGACTAACTTACCTAACTACCTATTTCCCGGTCTACAATATTCAGACAACAAGTACCAAATCTAAACCATGAGACGTCAAACCTCGAGAACGATCCGGAACATTTGCTTTCATTTATTTCACCAACACCTCTCTACTTCATACTCCACAACACGAAAATACTTTACTCGGCATCGGATACTGGTGTCCAAACCCAACTAAAAGAACATTAGCCTTATCGAAGTCGGAAATAACCTCTACTGTCTTGTCAGATTTGATCGATCCAAATGGGTTCAACATGACGTGAAGAGATTATTTTCAGGGGCTTTTAGCTGGAAGTATGACGTTATGGGATTGTCTTTGGGGTAGATTTCATCTGAATAAGAATGAGGGCCAAATATGATCAGAGGGTGGCGGAGACAGATGGTTGAGATGAAGAATGAAGAATGAAGAATGAAGGGGAGAAGGGAGAAGAAGAAGGACTTTCTGACTCACCGATAAGGAGCAGTATAATCATTTCCCATATCCATATTCTCAGCCGCTGCTATAACACTCGTTTCCATTGGCATTGAACTAGTAGTCATACTCATACTCAAACTCATAGGAACTTCCAAAACGTTTCCAATAGAAGGCATCGAACTTGATGTTGACATAGTTTCACTCATCGTAGTAGAAGGTATCTCTTCTTCCATTGCAGAAGAAATCGCAGTCATTGAAGCACTCATCGATGAACTGACAGAAGAAGGAATTGTGTTATCATCTGTATCAGGGGAAGAAATAGATTCAGCACCTTCGTTCGTTCCTGCCGTATGACCTTCATTTTCTTCAAAATCCGATTGTCTCAAAGAAGGGTTTGAAGGTGAAAAAACAAGAGTGATATTGGAACTTTTGTTCATTGGTGTAGATGTTGATTCTGTTGATAGTTGTTTACCACCTGTTTGTAATGCTGGAGGGGAAGATGATGAAGAAGTTGTGAGAGTGTCGGATGTATCTTCGTTTCCCGCTACCATTTCAGCCGCTGAACTAGGTACAGCGGTGGTAGTAGGTAGAATAGCTTCAGTGGTCGATATGGAGGTTGACATTGAGAGAGTGGAATCTACATCTTGAACGATATCGGTCGGCACTGAAGATATTGATGACATGCTTGAAGAAGGAAGTAAAGTTGGCAATGAATCTAATTGTTTTATATTCAATGGTGTAACGGAAGGTGACAGCATAGAGGAAGAAGATGATGGAAGAACGTTTGCTACTTTGATCATATTTGATGGTGTTGGTATGGAAGTAGGTATTCCAGCAACTGCGACCGATGGAGTTATACTAGCCTCACTTACTGATGTCACATCTGAGGGTGAAACTAATAATTGGTGTGATGAATCCGTAGGAAGTGATTCAGCCATAGCACTAGACATGATCATGGTGGAAGTAGGAATGGAAGATGTAGTTGTTTCTTCTACAGAATCTGGAACACTTTGTAAAACTTGTTGCGAAGTAGTATTTGGTGTCCAATCGGGATGTATAACACCAGTTGATGGATCGTACAAGAATACTTGAGAAGTATGTGAATCCCCTTCTGTGACACATGGTTGGACCGTTAATGGTTTTGCTGATTTAGGTAAAGGATCGAATGTAGCGCAATAAGATTCAACCTCGGCGGTTTCAGCTACGAAGATAGGAACTTTCAAGTTGACTTGGATCGGTCCATTGTTGTCTGTTGACTGAGCGGATGACGTGGTCGGGTCGGTCGAGTTGGAAGTGGAGTTAGAGTTGGAGTCAGATAGAGGAACGAGGTAAACTTGAGTACGAATAGAGTTGGAAGCGTTCAATACGAACCCTTCGGCGGAAGATGTGTCGTTACTTGACGAAGTACCGTTGGAAGTTGATAGTACCAAGGAAGCAATTTTGGCTCCAGTGGGGGAAGAGGAGGTGGGACTGGTTACATCGATGTAACCGGGAGCACCACCGAGATCCATTCCGCGTGCTTGCATCTGGGCAAATTGATCTCGGCTCCGATGATCGTGGTCATGGTCATGGTCGTGGTCGTGGTCATGGTCGTGGTCATGGTCGTGATCATGGTCATGCTCATCCTCGTGGTCATGATCCCTACGATCAGACTTCCTCTCAATCACCTTGACATGATTATGACGTCCATGATCATCTCCAATGAGAACCGAATGACCATGTCGACCATCCACATAAACATTGACATTCTCTTCATTGATGTGTTCACTCGCACGATCCTCGTTCGTCTGTTGACCGTTTTCCCTGCGGAAGACAAGATCCTGTTTGGGATCGACGTCGGCACCGAAAGAGTGTCGTTTTTGTCCTAAGAAAGCACGACCTAGTGCGGCCAGAGGACCGGAAAGCATGCGTTTACGAGGTTGAGGGGCCAGGTCAGAGAGAGGATTGGGGATGACAAGACTGCCAGAGCCATGAGGCATGAATGTGTTACCGCGGAGGGTTCTGGGGATATGACGACCCCCGGGGATTTTAGTTTGGTCCATGGCTTGCATGACGGCTTGCTTTACCGTGTCTGACCTTTTCTTGTGGTCATGGTCGTGATCGTGATCGTGATCGTGATCGTGGTCGTGGTCGTGGTCGTGGTCGTGATCGTGGTCATGGTCATGGTCGTGGTCATGATTATCATCATGGTCGTGGTCGTGATCGTGGTCATGGTCGTGGTCATGGTCGTGGTCGTGGTCATGGTCGTGGTCATGATCGTCCCTTCGGGATTTTTGATCCTGAGCCTGACGGTGAACATGTTCATGTTCATGCACCTCGGTATGATCCTTCGATTTCCCATCTGGTACGTCGTGTTTATCCTCGATCACGTTAACCTGGGCATGACCGTGAGCGTCAACTTGGACGTTCTGACGGTCAGCTCTCAAATCCCATATGCATCTCTTTCGGAACGGGCATCATACCATTGGCAAAATAATGATTGTCAAACAAGTTACTTGAAGATGGGAACTTTGAGAGAGAAGAATAAGAATCAAGAAAAGAAATAAACTCACATCCGGCTCATTCCTCCAGGGACCCCTGCGGCCGTGACGTCCGCGCCATGATCTCTTTTCGTTACTCGAGGCCCGCTCGGAATTGAGGAAGACCTGCTTCCCTCTCGTCTCGATCGGATGGAGTGACTGAGAATTAGTGTTTCCTCAATTGCGATCGCAAGATGGGTGTTCCAATTCCATCCAAGGAGGCTCACAGATCACGCACAGGTGATACTCGCCTCAGCTGCCAGAGCCATCAAGAGGTCAAACGAGGAAAGGGATGTTGAGGAGGTGAAGAAATTGTAGGATGAATGAGGTTTAGAGGAAAGGAAAATGAACCACTCACCCCGAGATGTCCAACCTTTACGCCGAGACCAGCAACCAGTGCTGAAATCTCTTGATCGGCAGGACGGTTCGGTAACGCCGCGGCCTGTGACATGGCCGCTCCGACAAGAACGGTAGCAGTAGCTATCGACGCTGCGTTTATTTGAACCATTTTGCAATAACTGTTTCTTATCCTATTTTTATTCCTCAAGTAAATCTTCTGGAAGTATCAAACTTCGACTTTACGTATTAAAGCTTTGAGTTCTTATGTGGGATTTCGTCGGGTATTGGACAAGGGACGAATGGTCAAGATGAACGTTTAGGGAGATTTAAAAGAATGAAAAAAAGAGCGTCGAGCTAAAGGCACCGGGCCGAGTACGAGAGTGAGAGAGTTGAGAGAAGAGGGAGGGTAATCTTGCTCAGCAAGTGTGTGAGAGAGAGAGAGAAAGAGAGAAGAGGAGGGTGGGGATTGAATAGACATTGACACTGTTGTTATATCATTCGATTGGCTTGGAGGAAGAGATCGAGAGAGAGGAGATGTTGACGATGTAGGTTAGATTAATGTTTACGAAAGTGGTTATTGACCGTGTTTGGTCAGTATCATTGATCGAGAATGATGATTTGGGTTTTCACAATTTAGATGGGGTAATAATGGAATACCGCGACAGCCGAGAGCGTGTCTCGTCAGTGAAGCCAGTGCTAGGCTGGTGGACCTAGTGAGGATGCGAATGGAGCGATACCAATGCAACAATACGGCTACGGGATGCACGTATGTATGACAAGTGAGAAGAATAGGAATGCCGGAATGGCGATGTTTGATCATGAGGTCAGTACTGTAGTTTGGTAAGTAGAGTAGGTAGTTTAGCTATCGCTTGGCACGTGAACGATAAGATGGTACGAGGGATTAAGTAATGAGGAAGAAGTGAGACTCACCATATGGTCTCTCCTCCAGTATCTAGAGTACACCACATGACATTATTCAGTAATTTAAGTTAGTGGTACGAGTGAGAAGAGCATGTTTCAATACCAAAAGTGAGGTTTACGACAGCGGTGCCTGAGCATTCCAACGAGGAATGCTCTCTCTGTTTCCTCAGCATATCTGTCTTTGTACAGACTTACATCTGTCATATCTTACCTTACCTTGTCACCTCTCTCAGTGACCGAGTGGATCAGTCCGTCAGTAGTAGTGGTTCATGGTGCACACAGTCCAGCTCAAAAGGTCTCAACAGACTATAGTATGACAACGACCATCTATCAGCTGATCATTCCCTATACATCAAAACAGACAATGTGATTCAATCCCCTGGTTTGTCCTCTTTACCCGCACATCAACGCCCCCTGAGGTATTCTGCCCACCTACTCTCTTACTCTTTATTTCACATGAAATAACGCCCATTAACCGATTCGCCGAGACATTCCATCCTATACACAGTGCCTGCTCAACTTTAAATCTCACTCTTGTCTCTTGATGGAGTTGAATTCATTAGTACACGGTAAGTCACTCATCTCTCATGCCTCTTCTGTATAATGGATCATATCAATTGCTGATGACAGTCCCTACATCTCATAATCCTTCCAATACAAAGTCGGAAAGTGTTCTTACTGTTTCGCCTTATACAAAACAACAAGTTGTCTCTCATCATTACACTGACTCACAATCATCATCATCATCGCAAAAACAACATTCAAAGTCAAATGTATGGCAAATCAAAGAGGGAAGAGAAGATATTGTGAAACAAGATCAAAACCTTCAAACTTGTCATTTCTCAAGATATACACATACACATATACATAATTCTCTATCATATCATTCCACACCACGAATGACTTTATCTATCCCTGGAAATTTATACGAAATCGAACAAAATATGACAGAAGATATCTGTGGAAAACCTGGTCCTTCCCGTCCATCATTTATCGATCCTTTTTCATCTCACAAAGCTCCCCATCCGTCTAGTAGACCTATGTCCCATATGGAGAAGAAAAAGAAAGAGTCAGGCTCAATAGGGAATGTTGATGAGTTGAGAGAGATGGACAAAATTAGTGATAGGGATAAAACACATTTGGGTTCATTCATGGATCATGATGAGTTAAGAGGAATGTATCAAATAGAAAATGGAGGGAACCAAAAGGAGTCAAAGAGAGATTCACCTAAGGTGAGTGAGAATGCCCATTTCCTCTATATCATATATTGGAGTTTTGTGGACTTTGTTAATCGTGATTGAAGGGAAGAAGAGTTATCACGGTCTAAAAAACCTGTCCGAGTTTTGGAATTGTACTTGTAGAGTGAGGAATACGACAGTTTCAAAGAGATGATCAAGATCATGATCACATTAGAGAAATCGGAATGATTCTAACTTATAGACTTCTATATTCACAAGACCACTATCCTCTTTCAGACTCTCGAAAACTTCCACATCCCCCAAGTGAGTTACTAAGATCCTTTCCTCGCAAAACCGAGTCGACTCCAAAAGATATACCATCCATCAACACTTCCATCTTCTTTTCTATTCCTCGACAAGTCACCTGCTCATTCCTCCACCAGCCATTGACGTCTTCATGTTCGTGATATCGAGAAAATAAGTGAGACAAAAGATATAGGAAACGAACGCTTCTCCTTCTATCATCAAGAAATATGGGACAGAATGGAACATGAAAGTGGGAAAAATATTTGATAGCTGAGATCAGAACACGAGGAAACGAAAAGTCACAAATTCCAAAACAGGATTTACTCCCTGAACCTAAATCATTAGGTTGTCTCGCTCGACCTGTCAAGATTAATAGCGACCAAAGTCGATGTAGTTGGTTCTGTAAGTGTATCCCTTTTTTTCCCCTTTCCCTTCCTCGTTCTCCTTCTTCTGTTTCTTCACTTCCACCTAAGTCATCTTCTCGCTCTTCATTCATCCGCCCTCGCCTCAAGTACTCTGACTATGAAGCACAGAAACTATGATCTCATTTCAGGGACTTTATTGACCAACAGGTGAATTGTGCGTCGGAATGGTAATGTGTCAATGCTTTTCTTGTATGGTACATGAACCTATCTATTAACTTCTCGATTGTTTATATTGTATTCATACTTGTCTTTGTGCATCTATCTTTGTCGTCTATCATACTCCCGCTGCAACTGTCCGCAATAGCATAACGATGTATTTCTGAAGATTGAGTTTCTCTGATTGAAGACAAGAAGGCATCACATATGAAGATGAAAATGACAAGGAACGTGGACCCGTAAAGGCTTATGCATGTTCACAAAAGAATCTATCCTAATGACCCGTTTCCTTGGGTGGGTTATAGTAAAGTTTTCGGTTTTTGACAACGGACCATTTGAACCGTTTGACATAGATTGAAATTGCAAACATTGTCGAGAGGATGATGACAGCCTATGATTCAGCTGAGATCGTGAAGAAACGATAGGGCAGCTGAGCGTTCCGAAGAACAGAGAACAAGGAGATGGCGAGAAAAGAGCAAGTTTCTCACCTGCAAACCCATCTTCTTTCTCTCGTCATGTTCTGGCTCAGCTGCCCATGAGAGGAAAGTTACCACATCTTTTGCCATTTGTGACGAAGTAGCGGGAGTACCATCATCGTATTCTACCAATCCATCATACAATACTCTAGCCATGGCAATGCCGCCACCTGGGAAATACCTGAATGTCAGGTGTTGACCTTTACCTTTCTTTTACAAGCGATATCTCAGAGATGAGTGGTGGTGGAAATGGGGGTACCAGGGAGAGTGACACATGTTGCAAGAATATGAAAACACTCACGGGTTGTAGTTCATCCCTTCCGCAACGTTGACACCAGCAGGAGGATCAACATAACCAGTCAACAAAGAATACACATAGTCGGCACCACCATGACGAGCTTTGATGATCAATGACAAGTCGGGAGGAAGACCACTGTACCGGTCAGGTCAATGTCTGACAGAGAGAAAGAAACTTGACTGACCCTCCATTACCAGCTCTAGCGGCCTCTTCATTAGGATAAGGAGGTGGCATATAATCTGCAAGTTTTCCTCTGTATAATCAGCACAAGAGTCATGAATATGTGTATATTATTGATTGAAAGACTGACGGTCTTTGAAACATTTCTCCCTCGTCATTAGGTCCATCGGTATATTCCACTTCTTCAGCCATAGCTTTTACCTCATCAACGGTATGAGACACTCCGACCAAGTTCCTCCAAGCGATTCGATCGAGAGAATGACAAGCGGCACAGACTTCACGATACACTGATGATTAGCTCTCAGTACGACTGGTAAAGCTATATGATTGATGAGGAGATGAATAGTGGAGATTGTTAAGAGCTCACCTTGATATCCTCGCCTGATAGCACTATGATTGAACGTTTCGAATGGACCTTTATGTTCGAATGGATAACTGGCAGGGTGTAAACCATCTTCTGCAGCGGTGTTGGCGGAAGCTTCGGGTAAAAAAGGAATTCCGTATAGATGTGTATACCACGCCATGGTACCTACTGAGACTAAAGAAGCGGATAATAGAGCGGTACGGGATGTCAAAGGGGATGAAGGGGAGGGTAGAGTTGAGGCGAACCGGGTCTGAATATATGAGCAATCTTTCCTCGGTTTTAGATCTCGATCTGAAGGGACGATAGGGGTAGCAATGACAGCCCCCGGATGAATGATTGTGGTGGAGTCGGAGCGGGACTCACTTTGCCAATATGATTGAGAGAAGGGGTTCTAGCCGTAGCCCTGGCTAGTAGCCGAGGGAAGGCTTGTGTGAACATGGTGTGTAGGGTAGGGGGTGAACAAGAGGGTTGTTATAGATGCGAGGATGAGATCTTTGAATCGCCCAATTGGCTGTCTCCAATAATACCAACGGCCACAACGGGTTCATTCGGAGGATAAACGCCGCGGGAATAGATATCTGTGGCACTTCTGGACAACAACCACTGCTCTCGCTCTCACTTTCTCCAGCATCTAGCACCTCGCATCTTGCAACACAATCTCAACCTTTTACATACTTTGTCTCTCCCCCCCCCCCGCCCTTAGCGATTGTACCTTGACACCTTTACATGCCCCGTAGAGAGGCTATTTCAGCCATGTCCAACATGTATGCACTGCATCAACCTCTTCTTCCTTCCTCCTCTGTCCATTTCTCCCTCTTCCTACCCAATTTCACCCCTTCCACCATCTACCCCCTTCCCTCCCCTCATACTCCTTATGAAACCCCTCCTATCAAAGTACTCGGAAATGTTGTCGTTGCTGGTGGTCAGGATCTACGAGTGTTTGAGATCCGAGAACAACAGGTACCCATCCCTGAGTCTCCTCGAGAGGATGGTGTAGATCAAACAAAAGTGGAAAAGATGGACGAGGATATGGCAGATGATATCGGTGATAATTTCTTTGATACTGGTTTCAGAGATGTGAGCATGCATTGTGTGTTTTTTTAATCTTGGTAGTGCTGATAGATATAGAGAGCTCCTGTCAATTACGAAACAACCAGAAGGTTGCATCTCTTATGCCAACATACGTTACATGGTTGGATCACCGGTCTGGCCCCTCTAAGAACTATTGAAAGTAGTGTGGATGGATTGGACAGATTATTAGTATCTTTCAAAGATGCAAAGGTAAGTCATCACAGCTTACTTCTCACTGGTCTTGAAGCTGCTAATCAAATTAGATGGCCTTGCTCGAATGGTCCAGAGGAGATATCGCAACAGTCTCACTTCATACTTACGAAAGATGTCAACAAATGGTTACTGGGGATTTACAATTCTATACACCTTTGTTACGAAGTGATCCTCTCTCTCGACTAGCCGTTTTGACTCTCCCTGAAGATTCACTCGCCATCTTACCTGTTTTACAAGAACAATCAGATTTAGATCCCTTGGAAAATTTCACAAAGTCAGCTTTCCTTGTTCCTACATGATCAAGCTGATAATTCAGGGATGCTCCATATTCCCCTTCTTTCGTTCTATCCTTGGCAGATGTCGCTCCCACAATCAAAAATTTACAAGATTTACTCTTCTTACCTGGGTTTCATTCGCCCACCTTAGCTGTCCTCTACTCGCCTTATCATACTTGGGCAGGTCGATATCATTCTCAACGCGATACATTCTGTCTTGAAGTTCGAACTTTCGATATAACAGCCGGTGGTTCTTATCCACTTCTCACTTCCGTTTCAGGTTTACCATCAGATAGTTTATATATCGTCGCTTGTCCTGCAGAATTAGGAGGTGTCGTTTTAGTCACTACAACAGGTTTATTACATATAGATCAATCAGGTCGAACTGTCGCTACTTCTGTGAACGCTTGGTGGAGTCATATCACCACATTACCTTGTGATAAAAGTAGTGAAAGTAGAAAGATCAGTTTAGAAGGGAGTAAAAGTGTTTTTGTCACTGAAAGAGATATGTTGTTGGTTCTTCAAAATGGTGATGTACATCAAGTCAGGTTCGAGATGAATGGGAGAGCTATAGGAGCTATCAAAGTGGATGAACAGAGTAGTAATGTCCCTGCTCCGTCAAGTATGGTAACAACTGGTAATCAGGCGATATTTGTGGGTTGTGCGGAAGGAGATTCTTTATTGGCCAATGTGGATATAAAAAGAGCAGTAGCCATCGAAGATCGGAAACCTGCCATTGAAGCCGAAGCGGAGGTGGATTGGGATGAAGGTGATTCTTGTCTTGATTGGTATATTCGATGGAGCTGATTCGTTAGATTTGTATGGTGATATAGACGTACCTCTCACAAATGGTGCTACGAATGGCGCAAAGTATCAAGCTATCACTGGTCCGGCCAATATAGTTCTTTCACCTGCTGACGTTTTGACCGGAGTTGGGAAAATTGTCGATATGGAATTTGGAATAGCTTCGACTGATGAAGGAACAAGAACATATCCACAATTAGTCACTATAGGAGGAGGTAGTAAACGTTCGACCTTTAACGCCTTCAGAGTAAGTCTTTCTGTTATCTCTTCCCTCAACATCCCTCTCTTATCTTTCCTGTATTCCCTTTCCATACTCCCCTCGCCCTTTCACGCTCATCACACTTTTACCTTTCGACAAAGTAGTTGGTCATGTTTTGACCCAAACGACTCTCCTCCTACTTTGACAGACAAAGTTCACGCAATGTATCCAGTTCTTGACAAGATGACCATATAATCTCTTCCCAGACATTGACATTCAGCGCGGAATACCCATCTCCAAAAGAAGACGATTCAACGAACTCTTCAATACTGAATCAGTTTGGTTCTTACCCATCCAACGTCCTTCAGGTCAACATCTCAAATCTATCCCGGAAGATAGACGAACCACTATGCTCTTTAGTTCAGAAGCTACTCAAACTCGTATATTCTCATTATCCGCCAAACCTAATCCAGAGCAGATCGGTAGAATATCAGGAAAAAGTTTGACAGTAGGACCTTTTTTTCAACGTTCGAATGTTTTGGTCGTCACTCAAACAGAAGTTTTATTGCTTGATAGTGATGGTAAAACTCAACAAAGTATTGGGAATGAAGGTGAAGAGATCGTATCTGCTAGTATTTCAGATCCATATGTTGTCATAAGGAGGGTGAATGGGAGTGGGTCAATGTTTGTTGGAGATACTGTTGCTAGACAATTATCTGAGGTTAAGATTCCCTCTGATAGCGTAAGTGACCCTCTCCCCCGCTATTACCCTGCCCACTTCCGCTACATCTTGTACTGTGAACTCGATAGACTCTAATATTCGTCTCTTGACTGCACCCAAAGTCTTTTTCTTTGCTTTCTCTCCTTGTCTCCTCACCCGTCGCTCAACATTTGGCATACGTCAAGGGTTATTTCTTCCTATTCACACAGACCGCTGTGTGGACCCCCTGACACCTCATCAGACATAAAACACCTACTTGTAGAAGAGTGACACCGGAGAAGATCACTGACACGCAGCTACAACCTCCCTATCAAGCCATCGAAGTGTTCAGTGATACCACAGGAATCTATCGCATGTTCGAAGCATCCGATTTAGACAACTTGAAAGATCATACCGCACGATCTATCGCCATTCGTCAAGGTCATCAAAACCGTATGCAACTCACACAAGATCAAATCAAGAGGTTACAAGAGGAAAAACCCGCTATATCGGCTGATGCTCCGAGTACCGAGATGGCCATGAATGCCGCGAGGGGGACACAGTGGTTGGCTTTGCTTTCTGCCGCAGGGAGATTTGAGGTGGGTCAAATGTCTACTCAATTTTCTTTCCAACTCATTCTTCATATCCTCTTCTCGTGTACAGAGGAGCAAGGGAGAAACATAATTTGGTCTGATCAATATCATTTTTTCCTAGCTCAAGGTGGGTGTGACGTGCACAGCTGACGAACAGATAAGATCGTTACCTGACCTCACTCTTGTTTTACAGTCAGATGGTCTAGGTACGGCCGCAGCTACATTTACGGATGAAACCGCCGATGCGGATCTGTCCTATGAAGAGAATATAGACAAAGTCAAGCAGCTCTTATTTTGTCCTATCGGTCGAGGTTCTCCACGTCCTCATATGTTGGTACGTCAAACCTCCCCCACTCCCACTCCTCTACCCCTCTCCTGGCCCTTCTTTGTCGTCACCATATCTGATGTGCCCAATCTTTCCTGATCTCGGCCCAGCATGACCACTTTTGTTCGTTTTCCCGAGCTGAACTCACTCCACATATCGATCTTGTCTTGCACTATCGAACGCACAAGTAGCTATAACTACTTGGATTTAAATGTGAGAGCCGCACTGATACCTAGGCATATCACCAATCCGGCCGATTAAACATATACGAAGCTCAACCTCGATTTACCCGTGACGCTTCCCAAACTCCCTCCAGACGATCATTAGCGGTCCGATTTCGTAAAGTCCACACCTCCCTTATCTCACCATCTTCCTCGACCTCCATATCAAGCACCATCATTCCATACGACAACCTCGAAGGACAAAGCGGTGCCTTCATCACGGGCGAAAAACCTTACTGGATCATGAGTTCTGAGAAACACCCTTTGAGGTTGTATGGATTGAAACAAGGTGCTATGGCTTTTGGACCGACAACACATCTTGGAAGTATGGGAGAATATTTCATGAAGATTGATGATGTGAGTTTCTTTTCTTTTCTTCTGTGCATGATGTTGAACGGGGAAAAAGGGTTGTTTTATATGTTATTTCCCACAAAGTCTCAATACCGATTTAACGATGCCTTGTGATAGATATGAGATGCAGAGGACATATACCAATGTGGTTTTTGATCCTCCTTCTGGACATTATCTCGGTGCGACGGCTATTTCAGTACCTTTTCAAGCGTATGATGAAGAGGGAGAGATACAACTTGGACCGGAAGGTATGTTCTTTTCCCTTCATTTCTTCTTTCACCCCTTACATCGCTCATCCTCAAACTTTCATCTTTCGATATGAAGCACTGATCATGTCATGGTATGAGGCAGTACTTATGTGTTAGGCGAAAACCTGGTTCCTCCTCTGAACGAACGTTCATCTCTCGAACTTTTCTCTAGAGGTTCTGACCCTTGGCGGGTTATAGACGGGTAAGTTTCCTACGTTTGCCTGACACACTCTTATTCTGTGAACTCGAGATTCAATTGAAGTTGCGGAAAGGCGATCGATGGTTGCGGGGCTTATGTATAGGTACGACTTTGATCAAAATGAAAATGTGCTCTCTATGCAGAGTGTATTGCTCGAGTCTTCCAGTGTTCCGGGAGGATACAGAGATTTCGTCGCTGTAGGGACTGGATTCGACTTTGGTGAAGATAGAGCTACTAGGGGTAACGTGAGTGTAAATTTTCTTCCCCGCCCTCTTTCCTCTCCTTCGCTCGTCTCAACCAGTGGCAATCTTATCGTGCTCTCGACTTCGAGTTATAACCTCAAGCCGCGATCACAGTCTCCTTCACGTCAGGCTCCCTTCGCTTCTTGGTGGCCAAAAAGTACGACTTTGTCACTGATCACCAGGTATACATATTCGAAGTAGTCGAAGTAGTCCCCGAACCTGGTCAGAAAAGCGCTTGGGCACTCAAACTTCGATGTAAAGATCCATGTAGAAACCCAGTCAGTGCGTTGGGGAATATCAATGGTTATCTACTCCATTCCAATGGACCCAAGGTAAGTCTGACTACCTCCTTATCACTTTCCCCTTAACCTCTTCGACTCCTTGCATCTCTCACAAAAACTCTAACGGCACTGGATCGGCCCCTCAAGAAAGCCTCCCGGGTCCTATGGCTAGTATCAGGGTCAGAATGTGATAGGATGAAGCTAATGCAAATAGATGTATGTCAAAGGTCTTGATTTTGATGAACGTCTAATGGGTTTGGCTTTTGTGGATGTAATGATATATTTGACAAGTATCAAAGTGTTTAAAAATTTCATCTTGATCAGTGATATGGTAAAAAGTATTTGGTTCTTGTCTTTTCAGGTGAGTCGAATTTTCTTTTTTCTTTTTTCCTCTCTATCCCTATTCGCTAGCAACATGCAGATCGGGAAAACATCTCCTTCCCATTCCACCGAGTCCCGGAATCCTGTCAAAATGATAGTATTTCCATATCGAGTCTTTTCTGTCACATCGTCACGATCTCTCCCCATCTTCGCCGTTCTGCAGCATTGAATGAACCAGCCGTCTGTGTCGAGGAAAAAAGAAGCTCTGTGAATAATTTAGAGGAGAAAGAACGATGCTGAGAATTATAGGAAGACCCTTACAAATTCACCGTAATCAGTAAAGATCTCATGCCGATTTCAGTGACCTCTGCGGACTTTTTGGTACATGATGGACATGTTACATTCCTCACTTACGATCGTTCGGGTGATATAAGGATGGTAGATTTTGATCCTGCTAGTGAGTCATCAATATCCACTGTATCTACCTTGCGATTCTTTCCTCCATCTTCGTTTACCTTTTGGTTGAGTTACTTTTAGTACATACCTGCTGGACATCATGAATCGGAGTCAAAGACGATCCGTCGGAGCTGCTTTCCCTACGTGCATCCTGCTCATTCGAACCTCACTCCAAGGAAGATGGCTCAATGGATTATGATGTGTCACACCCAAATGGATGGCTTGCTAACGTATAGATCCAGAATCGATCAATGGTGAACGGTTGATTGTTCGGACAGAATATCATGGTGGTTCACCGGTGACTGTATCCACTATGATTGCCCGGAGAAGAGGAGTAGAGGAAGAATTCGCTCCGCAAACGCAAATCATATGTGGTGGGTTTTTTTTCATTTATATTTTCCTCATCTCTCACTCTCATCCTGTTCTGAGACTCCCTCTTTTGTAAACCTCATCGCCTTGTCTTGATGACTCACAACCTCCCTCCTTACTTGTCTCGTCTCTGACCGAGTTATCAAACACACAGGACAGTGTCCCCTTGTGTACCTGGCGTCAAGCAGTAGTAAAGCATCACACCACTTCTCCACGACGAAGATGATGACACTCTGGAATCACATTCAACATACGTAGAATCAGAGAACCCACACTAACTTCCCAGCTCACGCAGACGGTTCAATCTCAACATTCGTATCAACCAAACCTGCTCGTTTCAGAAGACTTCATTTCGTTTCCGATCAACTCATTCGTAATGCTCAACATGTAGCAGGACTCAATCCTCGAGCATTCCGAACGGTCCGTAATGACCTAGTTGCCAAACCTCTTTCGAGAGGTATATTGGATGGAGAATTATTAGGAAGATTCGCTATACAACCTATTGATAGACAAAGGGAAATGTTAAAACAGATAGGTACGGATGGTGGGACTGTCGCTTCTGATTTACAAGCTTTAGGAGGGTTTTGGTGAGATTTTTCAGTGGAAGTAGTGTACATCTTCGTTAGGTTTCATTTGCATAGGTGGTATTTGAAAAGGAAATGCAGTGATTGTACAATACACACTGACACTGGTAACTCATATGACATACCGGCTGCCTCCAAGGTCTTTGATCGATGTAAGGTCAACGGTCATGCAGTACAGATGGAGGGGTGATCAAAAGCGTCGTTGGTTTGTAGCATTGGGGAGAATGGTCAATCTTCCAGACGCTTATTTGAGGAATGTGAGATCTTCACTGATTAATGCAAGCTTGTCCTGCAGGCTCACCAAAGTGATTTGTAAGGTTGACCATCTGGAATCTCATCAACGACTCAAAACACCTGACAAAAGCTTTACTTGTACTTTAATATTTCGACCTCATCTCTTACCTCTCTTCTCCCCGGCAAGTCTCTTATTCTCAGTAGCCCTTTCCACACCAATCAAATCGATATCCCTCCATTCATTCCCCGCTCGACCATCTTTGACCATACCCACAAACTCTTTCAAACGTTTGAATCGTTCCACCAACTCTGGCATCTCTTCGTCAGACTCACTTTGATCATAGAGAATGATCTTACCGGTGTACGTTCCAGACCTGAGGTATTTGGTACCACCCAAAAGTAACAGAATTCTTCTTTCCCTTCACCTTCATCTGATGGAGGAAGAGGTAATCGAAGTCTACGAGATTGAGTCCAGTGGACAGTCGTCGATTGTTCTTCATGCTTTGCCGTATGATATCGTTCGGAATGATCAGATATGGGTGTCAAAGGTGGGGATCTGAGTCTAATGCTATTTCCAAGATTTGTCTCCTCTCTGATCTCTGTTTTCACATTTAATTCGATTGGATCTTCACAACTGATATTCGACGACCATGTCGGTTCGGATTTGATCTGTTTTTTTGGAGTTGAAGGTTGAGAGGTCGATACAGCAGTCTTGCTCACTACACTCTCATACACATCCCAAATCTTCTTACCGACGAAACAAACGACTTTCGGACGATTTAGAATGATTTTCTGGGAAAATTGAAAAACGTTCAGACGCATTTCCAAAGTAGATAATTCTGATTGCTTCTTTGTCAGTTTGAGCAAGGAGGTTTTATTGCTCACCTCAGAAGTGGGTCGATCTACTAAATTCGTCTATTTGTCAATATTGATATTCAACTGATCAGAAGAGTTTGGAGATACAGGGAAAATGTGTTGATGATACGTACTAGTCCATAGTTGTATAGATCAGGAAGAAGATGATCTTCCATAGGACTCAATTGACGATCTGTCAAACCTGATAAGTGTATTGCTCGCTGAACATCAGTAATACAATTGGGATATTACAGTCGTTTCACTTAAGGATGAAGAGCAAGTTAGATTACACAGAGAAGTAGGCTATACTTACCCAGAATTTGTTGGTGGGATGAGCGAAATGATGGCCCTCCGTAGAAGACCGTTTCCCTAGAGATAAGTTTATGTATGTGAATCCCGTGCGACTCACCAGGACTGTCTATCAGCATATGTCAACCAGGAGGAAGTCGAGGACTTACTTGATACCGCAAAAAACGACTGTATGTCATCCCAAGAGACCTTTTTTTCGGATATAGAGAGACTCACTATCAAGATCTGGTTGAAGGATATCGCCCACTCGTTTCAGATGTGCGTAAACTTCAGGACTTGCGAATGGTCGAGGCTTTTTAGACTTTTTAGAGCTGTCTGGAGTTTGAGGTTCGTCCGGTGAAGTCGTGGAGAAAGAAGAGTCAAGACGAAGACGCTTTTGAGGGGTCGATATCGGGGTAGATGGACTGGGGTGATATTTAGAACGAAGTGATCGAGTAGGGGTGGAAGGGGAGGCCTTGATATGGGATTTGAGGGAAGTGGAGGAAGGGGAATAAACGTATTTCTGTAAAGTCGCGGCGAAGTTTTGAGCGCTGAGGTCCTCTGTTTTGATATTGTCTGGCATGTCGGGCTGCAAGGATATAGTCGCTACACCTGAGAGGAATGGGATAAGTCTGTAGGTGGCTGGAGTTTATGGCACCTCATCGATTTTATAGGGGAGCGGAGTGGAGGCACGATTTGGTGAAAAATCCTGCGGAGCCCCGCACATGACGTGTTATTCTACCAGAAACTTTGTTATCAAAACAAGAGCCCGTGCTTCCTCCCCTGTTCAACTTTTTTTTCGCAAACCCCCATTCCCATCGTCTGTTCCCCTTCTCTCTCTGTCTCACCCTATCTTATTCCTATCTACTCCTCTCTCCAGACCACAAACTTACCAGGATGGACGTGAGTCACAACCACCACGCTCTTTGTCGAGTTCGCCGCTGACTTTCAGGCTCAGTTCATGCAGAATTTGCACCAGCTCCTCGAGGCCTCTCTTGTCACAGATACAAACGTCGTCAAGCGGGTGAGTTTATCGTATCAACTTGTCATTTCCCATGGCTGACCATTTAAAGGCAACAGCTCAGCTCAATACCCAGTTCTACAAGAAAGCTCATTGCATCCCTGCCCTCTACGAAATTTCCGCCACTAGTCAGAACCAGGGCGTAAGTTGTTTCTCAAAGACGACCTCTTTGGTCTTGACGCTTCACAGGTCAGACAACTAGCCGCTGTCGAACTGAGAAAACGTATATCCGCCGGCGACGGCAAGTTATGGAAGAAGATAAATCCCACTCTGCGCAACCAGATAAAAGAGAGCTTGCTGGCGCGTCTCACTCAAGAACCCACGTGAGTAACGCGATATTCATATTTTTACCCCTCGCTGAAGTGAAACAGGTCCATCGTCCGACATGCTTTGGCAAGAGCAGTATCTGCCATTGCAGATCTCGAACTCACCGTCAAGCCCGTGCAATGGCCCGGGCTTTTACCCAGTCTTTACCAAGCTGCTCAATCCCCAGATCGCATGCACCGTGAAACCGCCATCTATGTCCTTTTCTCCCTCCTTGACACTATCGTCGACTCTTTCGAACCTCACCTCAAAGACTTGTTTAGTCTATTTGCGAAGACCCTTCTTGATCCCGAATCCAACGAGGTACGCATCACAACCCTCCGTTCACTTGCCAAATTGGCAGAATACCTGAGCTCGGATGACACACATGACATCAAAGCTTTCCAGGATCTTATACCCGCCATGATCAGTGTACTTCAACAGGCCATCAGAGAGAATGATGATGAAGGTGTGAAACATGGATACGACGTCTTTGAGACGCTATTGATCCTCGATACCCCTCTGGTCGCTAGGCACGTGCCTGAACTTGTCCAGTTCTTCTTGCAGGTGGGGTCAGACAAGAGTGTCGATGGCGAGATCCGATGCGGTGCGCTCAACACCTTGTCTTGGATTATTAGATAGTGAGTGATCTCGTGTGAGAATAAAGTTACCGGCTGAGATCATCTAGCAAGAAAAGCAAGGTCCAAGCGCTTCAGCTGGGCAAACCAATCATTGAGGGTTTGCTACCTATAGGCTGCGAGGAAGAGCCAGAAGATGCAGACGAAGATTCTCCCTCACGAGTGAGTATCTTGGAAAGACGCTACGAATTTGGCTGACGTCAATTTCAGCTCGCCTTCCGGAACCTTGACGTTCTTGCACAGGCGTTGCCTCCAGGACAAGTCTTCCCCGTCCTCTCCCAACAGCTGGAGCTTTACATGTCCTCCAGCGATCCGAGCATGCGCAAATCGGCCCTGATGGCATTTGGTGTTTCTGTCGAAGGCTGCAGCGAGTTTATCCGCCCACATGTGGACCAACTATGGCCATTGATCGAGGGTGGATTACAAGACCCCGAGATCATCGTCAGAAAAGCTGCTTGTATCGCCCTCGGCTGTTTATGTGAATGGCTATCTGAGGAATGTGCCACTCGACATGCCATTATCGTTCCCGTGAGTCCATCCCACTATCTCGATCCCTTTGTCGCTGACTCGGCAGATCCTATTCAACCTCATCGTCGACCCGTCAACTCAGAAAAACGCTTGCACTTGTCTCGACTCGTACTTGGAAATCCTCGGAGACGACATTGTTCATTACTTGACTTTGCTCATGGAACGTCTCCTCGTCTTACTGGAGAACGGAAACATCCCCGTGAAGATTACAGTCACCGGAGCTATCGGTTCAGCTGCTCATGCGGCAAAGGACAAATTCCGGCCATACTTTGACCAAACCATCCAACGCCTTGTCCCGTTCATTGCCTTGCAAGCAGAGAACGATCAGAGTGACCTGCGTGGAGTCGCCACCGACACTATTGGCACCATTGCCGACGCTGTGGGCTCTGACATGTTCCGCCCGTACTTCCAAAGCATGATGAAAGCGGCTTTTGAAGCGTTGACGATGGACAACAATCGTCTTCGAGAGAGCAGTTTCATATTCTTCAGCGTCATGGCCAAAGTGTTTGAAGGAGAGTTTGCCCCATACCTTCCTCAATGTGTGCCTGCTCTCATTGCGAGCTGTCAGCAGGGAGAGGCCGTGGACGAGGTCATTGACGATGGTACGTTTTCCTGTTTTCAATTCAGTCCTCGCTGACATCGGCCAGGCTCTGGGAACGCCGCCAATCCTCAGGCTGTTGCAGAGGCATTCAGTACTGGCGCTGGATCTTCTAAAGGGTCAAAAACCAGTGTGAACATCGCCGCTGAGGACGGAGACGACGATGACACCGACCTTGAGGATTTAGACAACATGTTCAGTAACGTCAACTCCGCCGTGGCGATAGAGAAGGAAGTTGCGGCAGACACGATCGGCGAGTTATTCGCCGCTACCAAAGAGGCGTTCATCCCCTATGTGCGTGAGACCATGCAAGTCCTCCTCGAACTCCTGGAGCATTACTATGAAGGAATTCGAAAAGCTTCCATCGGATCGCTCTTTGCGTTCATCAAGACGACATACGAACTCTCTCATCCTGACGAGTGGATCCCGGGAGGAGTTGTAGTGAGTGGACTCTTGCGATGTTGGTATCATGTTGACATCTCGTAGAAGGTGTCTTTTCATCATGACGTGAAACAGATTGTGGACGCCATATTGCCTCCCATCTTCGAGATTTGGAAGACTGAAGACGACCAGTGAGTGCATGTCTCATCACAACGTATAAATCCCCAGATTGTAATTCTCCGTATGATGACAAACTTACTCAGCTCACTTCGACGCCACGGCGAATGAGACTTTGATTAACAATCCAATTCTGATCTTACATCAAATCCCGCGATGACTTTCTCCAGGAGTGTTTGCCCATGCTGATGCTCAGATCCGTCGTCATCCTTCTCTGCTCTGAGCTAGCGGACACTATGAGCACTTGCGGACCTGCCCTCGTCGAAGGCCGTATGTTCTCCTCTCCCCTTTTGATCACTGCTGACCTGCAAGATCTCGATGAAGTGGCGACCTTTGCTATTGAGATCCTCGAGAAAAAGTCTTTATGTCAACAAGATCCTGATCAGGATGACCCGGACGCGGTCGATGCCGATTCTTCAGAATACGAGGCTGCCCTGGCCTCTAATGCGGCCGATATATTCGGGGCGATGGCTTTGGTTCTAGGGCCTGACTTTTCTCAAGCGTTCGGTTCCGTCTTACCTCTAATCGCGAAGTATGCTGTGAGTCCCCAAATTGAGATCGCAGAGAAAGTCTGATCGGATCAGGAGCCTCAACGGACGAGTACCGAGCGGTCTATGGCTGTCGGTTGTTTCGGTGAGATAATCGTCAACCTGAAGGAAGGTGTCACGCAATTTACTCAGGTGAGCTGACACATCTCTTTCTGCACAATCCTCCCACTCACCTCGCAAAGCACGTTCGGTTCGGTTAGTTTCATGCAGTGGTCTGAGCAGAATGTCAGTTCTGACTTGCAGCCTCTCCTCGAAATCATCTCCCGAGCATTGCACGACGAAGATCCCGACGTCCGTTCCAACGCCGCCTTCGCTGCCGGTGTCTTGATCGAGAACTCGTCGACTGACTTGTCTTCTCAATACCTACCACTCCTTCAAACTCTTCAACCATTCTTCACACCTCCCGAACACTCCACACCCAGTGTCTACAATGCGAAAGACAACGCATGTGGTGCTGTAGCACGTATGATTACGAAAAACTCTTCCGCCCTCCCATTAGATCAAGTGATGCCCGTCATGGTATCCGTCTTACCTCTGGTGTCTGATACTCAGGAAAACCGAGCGGTCTACGCTGCCATCTTTCACGTATTCAGAAATCAACCTCAACTGCTCATGCCTCACATTGATCATTTGTTACAAGCGTTTGCATATGTGTTGTTGGATCCTAGTCACGAGGACGATACGACGGATGAGACAAAGGCCGAGTTACGAGCTTTGGTGGAACATCTAAAAACGCAGGTACCGGAGAAAGTGGCAGCGGCTGGGTTCCGATGAAAAGGTGATTGATAACGATTTAGAATAATCTGATGGATGAGATGGTGCGGGATCATTGTGGGATGTAGGGTCGATATTCCTGAATGAGATGACTGCTTTTTGACGATGCAACGATGTGTATGCAGAGTGCGAGTGTTGCATGGTTGTAAGTACTTTGCTACTCCGATGTGATACCAGTGTACCTTAGTGAAAGAGAACGTTGTTCGCCACACTCGATCGGTGTTAACTTGGACCGACCTCTAGACCTCTGCCTCGTCACCGTCACCCTCTCTTGCTTCATCCATAGTCCTTTATATTTCGCTCTTCCCACACACTGTGACATCCTCCCATATCAATCTACCTCTACCTCGTATCTCTCTCCCACAACAAGCACAGAACCTTCTTCATACCTCACCTTCCCTCCTCACAACCCTTTCGACCAACAACCAACCTCATTACTCCATCTCACAAACTGGGCCAAAACTCACCTAGTCTCATCCAACTTTCCATCTCATCATTCCTCAGCTCTTAGCATAGCCTACTCCTCTCAACCCCAACCTTATCCCTATCCTACTCTGACCTTCCCCACATTCCATTCCAACCGAACTCATCACTCTTCATCCTATCCCGCCCAACCTCGTCCACTTATCCCACATGTACGACCCTTACCGTCGAACTCAACATGGTCAATTCGGTATACCACAAACTCATCAAGAAAGACAAACACATGGATTGTTGAATAACCCTTCACATTTAAATCAAAATTATCAAACTGGTTCTTCTCAATTATCTCATTCTCAAATCCCTTCAATTCAAAATCAATCTCATCATGATCATCAAACACAACCACATCCAACACTTCAGAATCAAATTCAACATCCCACACATCAAACTCAACTTCTCGGACAGACCCAAGGACATTTAAATAATCAAACGCAACTAGGACAAAATGTGGGTCAAGGAATAGTACAAAATTTGAATCAAGGAATAGTACAAAACACTTCATCATCAATGATCAATCAAAATACAGGTTTAAACATGTCATTAGGAATGAATATGGGAATGTCAATGGGTTTAGTTCAAAATAATGGTATAGGAAATTCATCTGTACAACCAACAGGTAAACTTTTATTGATGCCTAATGGATCATCTCCACCTATCGGTAGTGAAGAAGAAAAGATTTATTTGTTGATTGCTGATTTGTTGGATCCTGATAAGAGGGAGACTGCTTTATTAGAGTTGAGTAAGAAAAGGGAAATGTATGAAGATTTGGCTTTGGTTTTATGGGGAGGATTTGGTGAGTTTGTTTGTCTTCTTTTAACTTGCTTATATCCCTCACCTCTGGCCTATTTGCACCTTTTTCGTGATTGGGTGGGAATACAATCATACGACTTCCTCTCCATCGCTTTACTTCCAACTTACCTGTCTTCCGTATTTATATCACCTTCACTCGTCTCGTCTCTCTCCACTGCACTTGGACTTTCCTCCAACTTTGACTTTGGTAGAACGCGACGAATTTCATTTGAGCGTGCGGTTTGGAGATGAAGTCGGGAAATGGACGCCTTTTCAGTGATGAATTGGGGATTACTTGAATCAGATGGGATACCAAAACTTTAATACGGTGTGACTAGGATTTTAGCTAACACCCAGGCGTCATGTCATCGTTATTGATGGAGATCGTCAATGTTTATCCAGCCATGTCACCCCCTACACTCAGTGCTCACGCAAGTAACAGAGTTTGCAACGCTCTTGCTCTTCTACAATGCGTCGCTAGTCACAGCGACACGAGAAGTTTGTTTTTGAATGGTGAATAAGATCATTTCTTGCTCTGATTAACACATCCGTATATACGCACATACTATCATCTCCTCCTTTGGGAATCAATCGCAAGCAGCTTTGTGAATAAGTGGTATACATTCATACATCACAAACTTCTGTAAAGTCTCGTGGGCCTGCAGCTAGGAAGATATGTCGTGGAACACCTCAGCTAACTTTAGCCCATATCCCGTTGTTCCTCTACCCTTTCCTAAACACGACGAGCAAGACGAGGCCGTTTGAGTACCTTCGGTTGACGTCGCTTGGTGTGATAGGTGCACTTGTCAAAGTGAGTCTTTCTCCGCATAGTCACATCCGTCATCTCCCCATCTGTCTGGCATTTTTGAACCTCTGTATAGCTTCTTGGCTTTCTCTACCGGCGGCTCTCGAGACCCTCACACTTCCCCTTTCAATGTCTGCCCATCAAGTTCTCAAAGGTGTTTATCGTACACCTCTAACATGCAGCAAAACGACAACTCAGACGTCATCAACTTCCTCCTTTCCACCGAGATCATTCCCCTGTGTCTGCGCATCATGGAAACCGGTTCCGAGTTGTCCAAAACAGTCGCCATCTTCATTGTTCAGAAGATCCTCCTTGACGATCTCGGTCTTCAATACATCTGTCAGACGTACGAACGATTCTATGCCGTCGGAACCGTCCTCGCCAATATGGTCACTGCTCTGGTGGAGAGTCAAGCTGTGAGGTTGTTAAAGCATGTGGTGAGGTGTTATTTGAGGATGAGTGATAATCCGAGGTAAGTTAAACCTTCATTCCTTGTCCTTATCACGTCCCTCTTGTCGATGTCATGTTTTATGAGAAGCCTTCTGGATCAGAAAAAATCCCACTAACATACAGGGCCCGTGAAGCGCTCAAGGCTTGCCTACCGGAAGCATTGCGAGATGGTACCTTTGATGGTTTACTCAAGGGAGATAACGTCACCCGACGTTGTTTAAACAGTCTTCTTGTTAATCTTGACGATAGTAGAAGACCCCATGAAGGTTGATGTTTATGACATATATATATATATACTGTAGTGATTTTGAAGGTAGTTTGAGATAAAGTTGCATAGTACAGTATCATGTTTGAAAGAAGTCGAAGTGGGTCACTTTGAAAAGTAGTAGTAGCCTTGGCGATTTACGTTCCGAGTAAGATGAGTCAACCTCCACCTCGGTTTTCACTCGGTCGTGTCCCCCCCCCCCACTTTGTTCGGCCAAACGGGCAACCATCAAATCAACTACGACTACTACTACTTCCTTCTTTCTCTTCCTCCCCTCCACTCGTACCCATTCCACTTCTAATCTCTTCTTTCTTTCACTCTATCATCATTCATATCATAACCTTACATCTCAACCTGCCATACCGTTATCATACGTTTCAAACGTAATTGAAATCAAAGTGAAACACATGTCTTCCATATCTTCCCCACCACCATGGAACGTCCCACTAACACTTTATCCCTCCACCTCCACTTTCGATGTCCCTCCTCCCATAGTCCCTTCAAGAAAAGATATGGTCAAATTACCAAACGATCGTGCTCCAGTCTTTCCAGATTTATCGCCATGTGAATCTAACCCCCCTTCTCCTACTTTGAACGAAACGAAGACTTGTGATTTTCACCCTGGTTATTCAGGGTCAGAACTCGGTGCACTCGGTGTCAATGAGGGCGTTTTAGGCGAGAAAGGAAAGGGAGTGAATCGTAAAAGAAGAGGGAGGGATGGACAAGATCAAAGTAGTTTTTTACGTTTTCCTTCAGAAGTGAGTCTTTTTTTTTTAACAATCTCTTTTTTATATCCTTTTACCTCGACAAACCCCTTGATTCTTAGAATTCATCATTCATTTAACGTCGCTCAATATCTGTTTCAACCCACTGTATCACCTTTTCACATTCGTCGAACACTGGGAAGAGATACGAGGACAGGGGGGGATCTCCAAAACATCACTTGACCAGATTTTGATTGACCGGTTCCTTCGGTCTTTGTCATCCTCTTGATTTAATTTAAACATCTCTCCTTACATATTCCGGCGTACCGGCTCAAAACTCCCCACCCTTGAGAATCATATTCCCCACTTTTCTTCTACATCCCTTGTCTTTGTCACATTTCTATCTGGACCAACTACGTATGTACTAGTGTAAAGTTTTGATAGATTTCCCTTTTGGTAGGTTGGGTGGGGAAAAATGTCGATTTTTGTGCGGATAGAGGCATTGAGTGGTCGTACTGGTCATTCACCGAGATGCCGCATACTGTGGGAATATGGTTTCGATAAGATCATGAAATGTAAAGATGGAGTTGATACTGATACGTAGGTCATACATCGGATTTTAACATTATTGGGTAGTGATAATCCAACTTCTCTCGCTCAAGTAGCTAAGACTTGTCGATGTCTCCGGGCGTTCGTATATGAAGTGAGTCGATCGTTCACTTGTCTCAGAGAATCCTACCCTGCATTTGCAAACGTTAGGAGATTGGGCATTTTAGTAGCCTCGCTCTCCCTCTTGCCAACCCTCTAACCCTCCAACGGGACGTGATAGAACCATCCTTTTTAGTACATGCAATAGTCCATGCTGATCATCAAGGAACCAGACGAAGTGTTATGGAAAGAAATCCATTTCAAGTTATATGACGATCCTCGTGAAGCTGGAGCATTCGCACGACCTCGTACGCGTTTCAGATGGCGGCAGAGGGTACAAGATAGGCAAGAATTGATCAGACTATTTAACACTTGGGATGTGGATAAATATGACGGTTTGGTGAGTGAGCATATGACAATCTATCATCCTTTGCCATACCATAGTCTCTCCCTCTTGCCTCTCTTAAACCTGTTATCGATGATTGAAAAAAAGACGTCGTGACAAGTCTGATTAGAAGAAAACAAAAATCGACCTGATCAGTAATACTCTACTTGACCTCTACCTCGATCTTCCCGCTTCACCCTCGCCCGAAAACAATCCATTGGCACGAGAAGACACTCTGAACGGAGCCATCATTGAACCTATCCTCCGATCCGACATGTTCAAACATGTCATTACCCATCTTTCCACACGCGAGACTACTCCGGCCCTTCGACCATTGAATGATCAACCGGGAAATCCTAATCGTCGTGTGCATAGAGAAGTCATCAATCCCATACTCCCTCGGTTGCACGCTTTGCTACCACCGCAATTTGAAAAAGACATTCCCGCTGATAGACTTCATCGAGGTTTTCTTAGAGAAGCAGTGTACGCAGCGAGCAATTATACATACAAGAATGATTGGTCGCCCTTGACTTCGGAGGGAAAGGTGAACTGGACCTTGGTGGACGCCATTGGTAGTATTATGAGTGAGTCGCTTCCTCTGTGAAGTCCCCTTCCAAGCTTTTATATATTTTCAACGGAAAGCTTCCCCTGTTGGTGGGTATGATGGATTAGAGATCGTGGGGGCAGATGCTAGATTGCATTTGTGTAGTGACTAGAAGAGTGCAGGGTCTAACCACACAGTGTCAAACGCTCGTGATGTCTTGTGTTTGGGAGAGGAGACTTGGCGGAGGGCCGTCGCACCAATGAGCTATGGCGTTGAAGCTGTTCGTGGTTGGGGATTCAACCATCTCAGACGACCAGAGGGTTTGGCAGATGAAGAAACTTGGGATTGGGCAGGTGTTGAAGGCCATTGGTTTGGATCATATGCTTTCTTAGAGTGAGTCCCTCGCCTTCTTCGCACATTTCCCTCAAGTCACAAAAGATCAGTTACATCGAACTTGAAAACGCAGAGAAGAAAAATCATCTGACGTATAGCTACGCAGACTGGATAGCACTCAACGAACCTCGTCTCATTCAAATCCGTCGGTCAATGAACACACTCGATCTATCACGATACGCCGAAGCTCTAGGCGATTTGATGAGATTAGACCTCGTCATTGACCCAAGTCCAGAAGATGACCGACATATCTTTGGTCATCCCCTTCACGGTTCATCTCCCGCTCGGACAGACGACGGATTAGAACCTTTAACGACTCATTTACCTTCATCTGATCTATTACCACCTATTTACTTCCACGGTCGGTCGGCCCAACAACAAGGCGCTTTAACTTATCCTTCCGCTTCCACAGCAAATTCGGTCAGGGGTGTGGTCAGATTGACGGCGGATGATCCTCCTCAAGTGAGATGGACAATTATGATAAGATATGGAGGAGAGGATAGGTGGAAGTTGGAATGTGTTCAGATGGGTGGGAGGGGTTCGAGTAGGGGTATGGTAGGGGTGAGTGAAAATTAACTTTTAACATGTTTCCTTGATTGATATTCACCCTCTTATCAAGTCCATCATCCTTCTGCTCATTCTCTGTTGAACCTTCTCCCTCTCTGTCTCCTCCTGGTAAAGATACAATCTCCCTATCCAAGTCTCATAGTGGAGAGAACACCTTCCAATCCTCTGTTCCGATCCACGGAGTCCGAGATGAGGAAAGGAGGTCATATCTTAAAGGTCCACTCTAACATTCAGATCTGGACGGACGCCGCGAAAGAACCTCATACGCCCAACGGACCTGTATGGTATTGGAAGGCGTAGTTTCGGCATCATCTTTAGTTGTATGTGTAGAAGTGCAAGAGGGTATTAGAATGCCTCAGACCTTTTTTTTGGCATAGATGTCTATTCATCTGTCGTAATTATATCTCGTAGTGATACTCCTTGTTCTCATGATCCATGATTGTTACCAGACTGGACAAAACTATATGATCGTGGACGCCGTCAATCACTTCATGGCCACTTGCCTCTGGACGCGATTTCATCTTCTCATGAAGAGTAATTCGCGCACAATACGTTTCTGATTATGGCACAATCCCGTGACCAGCACGTGACTTTTTGATAAGGAAAAATACCACGTGTACTAATTCAACCAACATCCTCCAACATCATTTCATTCAACCACCATCTTATACTCACCCGTCATTTTGCTCTCCAGCTCAGACAACATCACATCAGGCTAAAATAACGCAAGAATCAGAATCAGCACCCCTTATTACCTTAGAAAACAGTGTATTCAAAGTAAGAAGTTACCTACAGGCCGATTGGTATGTGTCTCCCTTCCCCTCCCCCCCGCCCTTGGTTATAGCTAAAGTTTTAGCCTTCCTGTTAACAAAACTCTGTCTAAATCATGTCCGAATCTCAACCCATTGAACTCAGCGACACTTCTAGTGACGAAGAACTGGTCATCTGCCTCCCACCATCCCTTCCTCCTCTTAAACGCGAACACAGCGAGTCTATCATCATAATCCCTGAAACCCAGCAAACACCTTCGCCTTGTCCCTCTCCTACTCCTCTCAGGGACTTCAACTCAGAACCAGAAGACCTCGATCCCCTTGAAGCTTCATTTCCCCAGCCAAATCGAGCAAACCACTCTGAAAATTCGTCACAGGACGGCGAAGAAGATACACCAAACCTGTTCGATGAGGACGAATTCGGCCCTCATGAACGAGTTCCCAACCTAGTTCATGAACCTATACGCCTTCCACCGCAGTCAACTGTCAATATAGCTCGTGAAAAACTGTCTGTCATAGCAAAAGACAAGGGTTTCGCACTGGTTACCAGCTCAAGCAATCAGGAAGTTCAGTACATGGTAATGAAATGTGTCTGCAGTGGAGATTATCGAACAGGTCGCACCTCTCGATATGATCAAGTCCGACAGCGTCAGCCTCATACCCAGCGAACAGACTGTCCATTCAAGATCAAACTTTCAAGAGCTCGTCAGGAGGACGCCCTCGCCGACGGATTTCGTCCTGTCCTACTGGTCACGATCTGTAATGATCATAATCACCCTCCAATAAAGAATTTACTACTGTCACATCTTCGAAAAAGTTCTCGCACCCCTGAAATCAATAGGTTATTGCAGGACTACATTGATCAAGGCCTAAAGCCCCACCAGATCATCGATCTTCTTAACAAACATCCCGATAAACCTCTCCTGACCCCTATCGATGTAAATAATTTCAAGGCTCGGTATGAGAAGAACAGACAAGAAGGAAGAAGTGTGACTGAAAGCTTGTTTTTAATGTTAGAGAAGGAGAAACGACTTTTTAAAGGATTAGTTAATAGCCACCACGAAACTTTGGGGTTAGTTTATACGACTGAAAAGGCTCGGGCGTTACTCCACCAATACCCCACTGTCCTCATGATGGACTGCACATATCGAACCAATCGTTATCGTCGACCTATGCTTCATATCACTGGTTCAACAGCAACAAACCTCACCTTTACTGCAGCCATTGCTTTTCTCGATCGAGAGACAACAGATTGGTACGACATTACTCTCAAAGCTTTTCTCGATCTAATGGGACCACTAAATCATCGAATTCAAGTCGTTATAACCGACAGAGAAGTAGCATTAGCCAACGCCCTTCGAAACCACCTCCCCAATGTAAAACAACAATTCTGCACATGGCATCTACGGGAAAACGTTAAACACACATGTGATCAGTCTAAATGCTTTAAAGACGAAGAGGATCCTGTCAGAGCAAGGTCAGAGTTTGGTGATATGTGGATGAGAGAAGTGGTAGAAGCAAAAGACGAATTCAAACTTCAGCAGGGGATGGACAAAATGCGAGAGAAGTACTGTTTACCTGCTCATGGCCCAGTAATTCGATACCTCGAACGACTACTTACTTCGAAGGAGAAATGGGCCCACGCTTTTACCAACAGAAATCGTAATCTTGGACAGCACACGACTTCTCGCAATGAGGGTGAACATCGAGCATTAAAAGAGTACCTAGAGACTCATACGGGTACCCTCTGGCATGCTGTTTTAAAGACACACCGATTCCTGGAGAAACAGTGGGATCGAATTACATTAGAAAACGGTCAGCAAAGGATTAGAAGTGCTATTGGTGACAGAGTACTCAGTATTATTCGCAGAGACGTCTCAAAAACTGCTGTTACCGAGTTAGAGCATCAAATTCGACTTGCTAGCAAACTTCTCACACACCCGAACCCGTCTTCTCACTGCTCAGGACGATTTGTCGACTCAATGGGGCTACCATGTGCTCATACATTGGTTGATATCATTAAGCAAGATGGGGTACTCACGATCGACAAGATACATCGTCATTGGAGGTTGCTACCACACCGTGGCTTCGAAAAGCTTCTTGAAGACACGAATTCAAGAACTCAAGCCACTGCTTTTCGGGCCACAGGTGTTTACCGACTTGACGATGAATTTGAGGCCAGGAATTCGTCTTCAGATCGTTTTGTCCTTGATCCACCTATCAACCTTGGCCTTCGGGCTCGTCAGGCCATTCGGGCCTCTGCATCACAGTTTCCCCCTTCTCAGCCTGCTACCCAAGCCTCAGGAATCACTGTAGTTCGTCCTACACCAATGTTCACACCTCCTGGGCCACCCTCTACTGCTCCACCCCCTCTGAAACGATCTAGAGCCTCAAAAACCTCAAATAATGGTCCACCACGGGCTTCTACAGGTCGAATTCTCACACAGAGCGAACAATCTGCTCCTTCTCGCCCCCCCCCCCCCTAAATGTGACCTCTGTACCAAGCGACATGCAAGTACCTACATGTGTGCAGCCAAAAAAGCAGTGGCTGCGAGAGAACAAGAGTTATTAGCTCGAATTGAAGCTGAGGGTCGAAATAACAGCGAAAGGATGATGGAGAGGCCTTCTGCAATGATGACAGAGTCTCTGATGACGGGGAGAGCCTCTTTGATGGCGAGAACAGCCTCAGAGACAATGGGGACAGGCCTACAGGTACGCACTTCATTGAAATCTGTCCTACCACTTCTGCTGGTTGCTCCATGAAAGTTCTTGGCTGATTTATGCAGATAATACCTCAATATCATCCTTATCCCTTCCACCCTTCTCCCCACTTCGTCCCAGAAGCTCCTGGCCCCTCTAATTGGTACCAGAGGCCACCTACATACCCTCCTGTGTCGAATTATTCGAATTTTCCACCTACCTTTTATCCACCTGTGTACCCGCCACCCTATGTTCAAGAAGGACCTGGAAATGGCTCAAACTTCGCAGAAAGGACTGTCCTAGAGGCTAGGCACGGTGGTATGAGACAGGAATTCCCCCCTGCTGAGTATAGGCCAGGACAACAGGATTGAACCGGTGGACAGGAGGGTGGAAGGAGGATCGATGTATCTCCGTGAGTATTCATGTATTTGACTCAAACTCTTTCATGACTGATAGAGACAGATCTTCTCTACACATCTATACTATTTTTATAGGAAATGCATTATGAATATTGAACAGGAAAAAAAAAAGACAGGTTCATAAACTTTGACCGGTGTCCTGGTCGGTGGAAGGGAGATCCGTGCATTAGTACACGTGGTATTTTTCCTTATCAAAAAGTCACGTGCTGGTCACGGGATTGTGCCATAATCAGAAACGTATTGTGCGCGAATTACTCTTCCTTCTCATAGAGCATAGATAATACTGAGTCAAATGTTTGCCAGTTCCACGCGCCCTTCATCAGAAAATCAGAAAACCAGAAGCCGGCTCCCGGATCCTCGGAAGATCGTGCCCCGAAGTAAAAGATGATACATGCGAGAACCGGGTAACTCTCAAAAGGCCATAGGTCAGAGGGTTCCTTCAGTTCCCCTTCCCCCTCCTTCCCTTCCCATTCCTCCTTCCTTACCCCGGTCTATACCGTACATGTCCCGTGGCCCGTGGTGAGGTTTAGGGAAATCTTTACAAGAATGTCGACAACCCAGATTGTCGGGCCAGATTTTCCCTTTTCTCTCTTCTCCGCTCTTACAGTAGTTGTCCCCACTCCCCAATGCCACCTCACGCGATCGAGTTCTTTTGGGGAATTACCGGCCATCTTACGCCACCATCCTCCCCTCGGCGAAAAATCCCGATGCGTCATCCCGATCACCTTCGTCCCTGAATTATGATCCTTCCCTTTTTCCCTATCCCATCCCCCACTTAACGACGAAGGCCAGAGCGTAGGAAGGAAGGGAGAAGAGAAGAGGGAGGAAAAAAAAGTGAAAGTGATGATGAATTGATTTTCTCAAAAATCCTCTTTAGCGCGGCACGAATTAGCGCCCTTTTGTGTCCCTTGGGATTCCCTTGGCTCCCCTTGGATGGGTCAGACTAAAAAAATGCTGTGCGGTTCTTGCGCCTTTTGAGAGCATGCAATGAAGTGGCAAGGGTAGGGTAGGGTTGGGTGGGGCACCCAAAGTGGCGCATTCACGACGACGATTGGGCTTAACGGGTTAACGGGACAACGTGGATTATGCATGACGCTACTCGTACACTTTTGCTCTGTCTTCCATTCGTACTCTCTATCAACTAGTTGCTAGTTGCTAGTTGCTTCTGGTCTGTTTTTCGTATAACCCGACGCGTGATCTTAGTGTGATCGACTATCACTATCGCACAGACCACAAGTCTACAGACCTTTTTCTCTCATTGGGGACAGAGCATACACCATACACACCATACACCGAGAGTTGTGTGTGAGAGAGAGAGAAGGCTCCACACCATACACCGAATACAGACAACTTTCCTATCGATAAGAACCGACATAACCCACACTCACCCTATATACACCCAGGTCAAGACAAGCTTAGATAGTAGACAACATAGAGAGAGAGAGTTATACAAACGAGAAAAAGAAGAAACTCCAAAAAAGGACGAAGATCATATTTCGCAGTTGACCGAAGAAGGGGAAGAAACACGGTTAACGATTTTCACTATCGTAACATAACATCTCACATCTCACACTACTTTCTACTTTCCCTCATTTCCGGATAATACTACGTCACTCTTCACTACGTCTTTCCACCACTTATCGCATAAGCCCCAAAATCGGTATACACCCACAGCACAGTGTCGGGACGCGCCCACAGTAAAGACGGTCCACGGCCGAAGGAGATAGAGGGAAAACAACGGTTTCGTAAAATAGGTCATAGGTGAGTATGACGGTTTCGTCTTTCCGTTTTCTACATCTCCCGCCATCGGCATCACACATCTGAAGTATGTGAAGGACAACACTTGTATACCTTCCTACACATGGACCATTGCGGTAATCACCAACCTCTTTTCTCTCTTCTTCATTCATCTCACTCACATGACAAGTTCTGAAAGCGTTTATTGGGAATTTTATCAAATACGAACTTGGGAGCTGACATTGTGTTTCTACACTCATAACTTATACCACATAATCAAACCATTCTCATCACCTTCCTCCACCACCACCACCTCCTCCTCCCCTCCCTCACTCTACCCTCATCTCTCCTACCGCTTCACCCACTCGTTGTGCCGGTCGCAATGTCAATCCTATTCTCCCCCACCCTCAACTTCTCAAACCAAAATCAAAATTGCACTTCGTTGCTACCCGCTTTCGACGTCTTTCCCGGTGAACCGACATCGACATTCGAATGGCAGATATTAATTGAAAACTTTGATCCTGAAGCTCTGGAAGCACTAAACATCTTATCATCCATGCCTAACACACCGAGCGGCGGACCAGATTCCGCTCATTCTTCCCCTCCCGATTTCGCCTTTGCACCTCCTTCTGATACACCCTTTGATGCTTATCGTGATACCGGGAGTAAAGGGATCATCTCAATGTCACCTTCTCAATCTAAGATGAGTTCTCAAACGGTTTCAACACCTACCTCTGCTTTCGCTTCTGCTTTTTCAATACCTTCTTCTTATTCAATGCCGAATTACTTTCCCGGATCTTCCTTTTCATCCATCGGTTCCGTCACAGGAAGTTCCTTCTCATCTGCTGAACTCCCACCTATATCTCATGAGTTTGCACGACCTTCTACCAACGAAACTCGGAGACCTGCCACTGCTGGTGGAGCATTACAAAGTGGATGGAATATGAATAATGGTATATCTGGTGAGAGATTTCAACGAATAGGAAGAAGTGCAACGGCAACTGTGGATGGGAAATCACCAGTGGATACGATACATGAATCCACCGAGAATTCCAACATGTTTTCCAATCCTTTCTCCAATGATAATCACCCACACGGAGAAACGGATCAGAATCAAGCACAAACACAAGTACCAGATTCAGCTGTGGATCCTCATTTCAACCCTAACGTTCCTCGCCGTTCTTCTGAATCTGCAGCTCAGGCAAATCAACATCAATGGAATACCGAAATGTTAGCACCTCCTCATTCAATCCAACCTATGGGATTATCATCTGCTCCTTCTCATATCACTCATTTTAATCTTGTATCTCAACTTCAATCTACACCTCAAAATCAACTTCAAGCATCTTTCTCCAGACCTCATATGGGTTCTACAGGTCGTCCACAAACATCAGACGGTATACCAGGTTTCACAGGACTTCATTCTCATCCTCCTCTTCCACCAGCAAGGACAATAGTTAATCAAGTCTACTCTCAAAATTCCCCTTACACTCCTTACGCCCCTCAAATGAAGTATCCTTCACCGACGGATGTCCGAGCGTCAGGCGCATCATCTTCCGGTCCAATACCCTCCAACATGCCTTTCAGAGATTCACGTCTGTCAATGCCGGAGATCACCCATCCGCCCAATAACTTCCCCGGTAACCGGGCGTATTCGATCGACTCGGGTAGACCGATGGCTCAGTCACAAGTGATGCGTGCGGCTTATCATGGAAAGTCGGAAGGACAAATGAACGAATTGACTTTTGTACCTCTCGGAGGACCGGCTCCGAAGAAGAGACCAAGGAGAAGGTTTGATGAGATTGAGAGATTGTATCATTGTGGTTGGAACGGATGTGAAAAGTCATATGGAACTTTGAATCATTTGAACGCTCATGTGGCTATGCAGAAACATGGCGAGAAGCGGTTGCCTGCTGGTGAGTGATTACTTGTTTTCTGTGTCATACATCCGAGTCTTGCTTCTTACCTTGTCTTTCTTTCTTTCATCAACCTCCGCTCGAAATTCGACTGTGCGCTTCTATGAGGCACAACCTGTCATGTCATTCGGGATATGATTTTAAATCCCTCCTAGGACCTATCATCAATGTCGTGTGACACTTTGGACTTGGCTTACATTGCAGAGTTCAAAGAAATGCGCAGAGTGTGGAGAAAAAAGAAGCGTGAAGCAGCTTCTTCAGCCGCCAACGCTCAATACATGTCTAACTCCAACTGGAATCAAGCTCTTCATCCTCAAATGCCCATCCATCGACCATCCGTCACTTCTTCTTCATCTGCGGAGTCAGACTACGATCGACGTGATTCCGCTCTTTCCATGTTATCTTCCGATTCTTTCAGACCTTCCATCCCTGGTAATATTTACACTCCAGGATCTCTCCCATCAGCCTCAACAGTATCTTACCAATGGGGCGAAACTCCATCTCATCTTCCACCACAACCTTCATCTCACTTACAACAAACTCAAACCCCACTTCACGATCCAACACAATCTCAATCGCGTCCTACCACAACGTCCTCAGTCGCTTCTTCCGTTCCGGATAACAGACCTTATATCAGCTCCACACCATACGGTCACACGCCTTTGCAGACCGTTTCTGCCAGACGACCCAGTGGACAGGGATACATACCGATGCCAATGACCATGTCGAATCAGAACCAAACACAATTCAGACAATCAGAAGCAGATCATTCAACTCCCACCCCCCAGAACCCTTTTCAACCTCCTCAGAATCAGGTTCAAATTCAACAAAATCAGGGTCAGAGTCAAGTGACACCACCTAATTCCAGTCATGGTAATCAAACGTTTCCTTTTCAAACATTGGCGAGTCCCATGCATCTCACTCCTGGTGGGGTAGGAGCTGGAACGCCTTATAATGGTAGTCAATTCGCTTTTCAACGATAATGTTTTGAACATGGATCGGGAACTGGAATTAGTGTGCGGGAATGGTAGTATAAGACAGAAGTGTCACGTATGTCTAAAAAATTGGAGAAGACAACTTAGTCTCTTATTCGGGCAATCAGGATGGTATCCTGGATGAATCCTCCGTCAAGGTATCTCCAAGGGGCTTAGGGACGAGGAAGTAAGGTTTGTTCATATGTCTATCGCCTATTGAGGATTTGTTAAGGCCACAAGGGACATTGTTCGGTGAGAACCTTGTAAATATTGTCTGATAGGAACATGAGAAGGTGTACGGTGTACGACGGTACGGAGATCGAGAGGAGAGGGTTTATTTGAGGCTATACGGAAGATTGTCAATGGGCAATGGGAAGACAAAGTTACAAGAAGTTTGAAGAAGTGAAGAACAGGAAATCAACCATATCATGTGTTACCTACCTAATCCATCCAACCTTTTATCACAGTCTTCTATCTTCCAAGTTTCTTATCTTCCTTCATCTTCCAACCCATCTATATAAGTCTTTTGTCCGCCTATCATCTCAAAGTTTTTTTTTAATCAACCTTCATGTATAAGGGATATCTGTGAGGGATGAGGTTATTAATATAGTGAAAAGAACAAAATGTTTATTCATGTAGCTGGGTAATTTGGGTTTTTTCTCTCATAGGTTTGTCTCTTGATCATTACTAAGATTTATAATGCTTCACACACTTACTTATCGATTTTGCCTATCACATCCAATCCTGTCAGATGGGTGAAATCGTCGTTATTGATTCGTCACTCGGGTCCGTGATCAAGTTTTGATTTGTACCAATTCTAGGGCTTTCTACATCTTTCTCAGTTCCATCTCGACTGACACTTGAACTCCTCCCTTGGAAAGAAAATGAATAACTTGTATAGTAATCGACACTCACAAGCTCAAGTGATCGGCTGGTTTTCAGTTACCTCACATTTCTTGCGTTCATGATTCGTTGTCCTTCATTCTCAAGCCCGAATGACCCTAGCTGAATGTCAAAAGATAATCATTAATATTCCGTCAATCATCGATTACTCGAGTACAATACTCTACTCCGTTCATACCGAGTATTCACTCGTGCAGTTCGAAAAGTCATGTTGTCAGTGACTAAGCAATGGTCTATGCACTAATCATGAACAATCATCATTAACCGACAGCCAATGAATGAGTGATCAATCAAAATTGGCATTGATGAACCATTTCTATACACATGCATGCAATGCTGAGATATCTTTCATTCCCACCCTGATGTCTCTAAGCGTTCAATGACATACCTCCCATATCTGGCATATCCTCATTCGTCAACAATTTCGTGACTTTACCGATAGCCACTGTTTTACCTAAATCGTCAGCTGAATATACTCAATCTCCTTCCATCTCCAGATCTTTTCACATCCCCCCCCCCTTGACCGAAGTGTAAGATGAGAGACGATATGATAGAAGAAAAACGCAATAAACCCACCTTCATCTCGTAATGTGAACCGACCTAACATTTTGTAATCTTCCCATTTTTCAATACAAATAGGAGCGTTAGTCTCAATGATGGCAGATACCAACATGCCAACTTTGGCGAATTGAGGTGGTTTTTTAGATTTACGTTTGGTTTTCTTATCGTAGTAATGTAATAAAGCCTAATAATTAGCATATAATAATGATGAAAATCAGGTATCAGAGGTAGAAAATTAGCTGAATGGTATTGAAGACATTCGAAATGATAGGTGTCAGAGATTGTGGTCGTGATACAAGATGATAGCTGAAAGGTCATGAGAAGAAAGGGATGTGGTAAGTTTGAGCTACAGAGTTTGAATGTTTCACTCACAGATAGAGTCACCTCCTCAGCCAAGGTATGAACATGTAAAACACAACTGTATCCCGAACAAATAATATTTTTCGTTTCGATTATACTCAAATCCGCTTTGAAAGCAGTCACGGCGTTTACGGGTTTTTGAGTCGAAGTCAAAACGAATCCCGGTGAAACATCTTCATCTGAAATACCTCGTAAACGAAGTCGGATGTTGTCACCACAGAAAGCCATTTCCAATTCTTCTGCTTGTTCGGTATAGATGGCCGCGATTTCAACAGTGGACTTAAGTTAGCACTTGTCCACATAGACCTGTGACATTCACAATGATTCGTGGTTCCCCGAAGGGTTTTGGTCGATCCCACAATCTGTCATGGCTCCGGGCCTCTGATTGCCTGACTATTGGGTGGTGAAGGTCGAAGCATAAGAAAGGCAAAGACGAATCTGACATACCCTATTAGGCATTAACAACAACGAATCACCCTTCTTCACCCTCCCCGATTCGATCTTTCCCATGACCATGGTCCCCATCTCATTGTACTTTTCCGATATGGGTAACATGAACGGAGCATTGATATTACGGTCCATGATGGTCATAGAGTCGAGATATCCAAGTAAGGATGGACCACTGTGGAGTCAGGTAAGTCACTATATAGAACTCTCATGATAGATCATAAATGAGACAAAGCCGGACGACGCTGAGAGATGTATCAAGGGAAGATGGACATCAGAAAGAAAAGGGAACAAAGAACCCAAACCACTCACTCGTACCAAGGTGCAATATCTTTACTGACTTTATCTTTCATGTTTTCTCCGACTTGGGCAGAGACGGGAATGAAGGTCAAATCAGTCTTCGGATTGAAACCTATTGACCGCAGGAACGGTGTGATTTTCTGACAAATTTCATCGTATCTGACCACGTCAGCTACTCCCTTCCTACAAGCCAGAAAATGAGAAAGTTGGTGGAAAGATATACATATCCGAAAGAGCGCCAAGGGTGTTCAATGATCAAACGGAAGGGAGAACATGACAACGCACCGTCCCTTATCCCACTGCACCGTCGTATCGTCCATCTTGTTCACCACCACGACCAATTTATTTATACCGTTGTTCTTGATCAAAACAGCATGTTCTCTAGTCTGTCCATCACGTTCGAAACCAGTTTCAAATTCCCCTTTTCTAGCTGACAAAACCTGACATCATTAGCATACTGCACTCATATGTAAATAGCACCCACCAAAAGCGCAACATCCGCCTGAGCAGCACCAGTGATCATACTCGGGACATATGTCTTATGACCTGGTGCGTCAAGAATGGTATACCTCCTATTCTCCGTCTCAAAGTACGCTCTGCCCACTTCCACCGTCTTACCCTTTGCTCTTTCCTCTTTTCCCGAGTCCAGCGCCCAAGAAAGATACCAAGTGTCCCTCCCTGCCGCTTTAGCTTCCTGCTCGTATTTCTCCATGGTTCGTTTGTCCACAGCTCCCGTCAGATAGAGCATTTGTCCTCCCATTGTAGATTTACCAGCATCGACATGTCCCGTGAAGATGATGTTGAGATGTCCCTTAGCATTGGTATCCTTGGCATCGTCGCCGTATAAATCACGCATGGCTTCTGTACCCGCCGCTGCTTGTTCTTTTAGAATGGCGTCGGCGTCGTTTTTAGCGGTGACTTTGGTAAAGTTTGTAGGTGTAGAAGTGCCAGATGATTTGATGGTTTTGACTTGTGCGTCGGTCACTGGGGGTTGGGGAGCGGGTGTGTTTATGGGGTCTTCCTTCAGTATCTGCTGAGACGTGGGTGTAGGGGCTGGAACAGTCGTTGGTCTAGAGTCGGTTGATGGCTTCTCTTCCAACGGGGTAGAAACCGCAGGGGAGGATGTTGCCACTTCTGGTTCCTTCTCCTCCTCTTCTTTCTCGACAACTTTCTTTTCCTCCTCCTTCTTCTTGCCTATACTCAACGAGACGGGTTTCGACGCTCCGCCTATGCTCAATGACGGAGCGGGTTTCGGAGCTCCAATGCTGAATGATGGTGCAGCTTTCGGTGCGCCAATGTTCAACGATAAAGGTTTTCCACCGGCAGGCGCACTCGTTTTAGTTGACTCGGTAGGCGTGGGATCGGGCAGATTGGGGGGTTGGAATCCCTGTACATTTCTGATCTGGGGAGGGACGTACGTTTGTCTCTGTCCGGGAACAAAGGCTTGTTGTTGAGGGGGTGGCGGTTGTGGCGGCTGATATTGATACTGAGATTGGCCTTGCTGGGGGTATTGAGGATACTGCTGACCGTATTGACCATATTGGGATTGGTACTGCTGACCATATTGCCCACCGTAGGGATCGTAAGGTTGTTGTGGCTGACCGTTAGGGGGTTGATTGCGTGGGACGAAAGGTTGTTGTTGTCCCGGTCGGAACTCGAAGGCACCGGGGTTGAAACCTTGTTGACCTGACATGATGGCTTTCTCGTGGTATACGGAGACAAAGAAGGGTGTTGATGTGGGGGCACGAGGAGGAGAGTGATGTACCGAATGTGAGAAAGAGAAGCGTGTCGAGGTGTTTTTGGTTGTGAGAAGGAAAGGAAATTGAGAAAGGGAGGAGCAAGATGAATAGAAATCTGTGCGGGTGGAAATGCCACGTCATTCAAGTCCGAGCGTTCCTTCCCCAGGATGGAATTTCACTCGATATCTTATGCGGTTGCATGTTTCTCCTCTCACTGAGGCGACATATACATCCAAGATTACTACTATCCCCTACCAGGTTATATCGAACAGCAACCATGTCCGTGTCAGAATTTCTCAAAGCAGCTCAAAGGGCGGACCCCTCGTTGGCCGGCTCCACAGATAAAGACACTTTGGCCATTTCAATCCTCACTGGACAGACCGGATCTCTAGCCCAAAATCTCCCGGTCAGTCTCCCTCACCTCATCGATCATCGACTAGGTTCCATGGCTGACGACTAGTCTCTCAATGAAAAACTCACTCCCCTAACATACCTTTACTCCAACGCCCCCACATTGGCCGATGTCAGTCTTTACTGTCATCTTCATCCTTCTCTGGTGAGCATTCATTTTTGATTATTCCCAATTCTGCTAATCAGGAACCAGGTAAACGCTCCAGAATCCCAACACTCCACTCAACCGGCCATACTCCGATATTTTCTCCATGTTCAATCACTTCCTCCAGTTCAATCAGCCAGAACAGATTTACCCAACTCATTCCCTCCGTTAGACATCGATATCTCTGCCCTGCCCATACCCGAAAGGAAGGTTGTGGTCCCACCAAAGAAAGAAAAAAAGGATAAGAAAGAAAATTCTGCAACAGTGACGGAGACCCTTGTGGGTGCAGCTGGCGCCGTTTCAACCACGGTCACCGACGTAGCGGCCGGGGTTGTTGCGGCTGTCAGCGCTGCTGCGGAAGCGGCCAAGGAGGCTGTAGTAGGTGGACAGGAAGGGGAGAAGCAAGGAAAGAAAGAGAAAAAGGAGAAAAAAGAAAAGAAGGAGAAACCCAAAGTTGAGGTCGTCAAGGATGATGGTCCTAAGCCGAGTATGATTGACATGCGGGTGGGCAAAGTTCTTGATGGTAAGTCTTTGGTGTACATCCCTTCTCATACAATCTGTCTTCGGATCGAATCGTTGTAAAAACGTTGTGGATCTCATAAGAAACAATCTGACAATACAGTGAAACGACATCCCGATGCCGACTCTCTGTACGTGGAACAAATCGATGTGGGAGAGGCCGAGCCACGGACTGTTTGTTCTGGGTTGGTCAAGTACATGAGCGAGGACGAGATAAGAGGAGCGACAATCATTGTCATTGTGAGTGCTTTTCTCTGATCATATAAGCCTCTATGTCTTATGTTCAACATGAATCACAAAGCTGCCTTTCGTAGCCTCTACGGTGTTAATTATCTCATCGACCGTCTGACCAGCTGAGCAATGATGGACACCAAATCTCGTCGACTTGCGTCAGTGTGGGTGGCTCACCTCCAGTGTAACCTCAAACCTGTCGCTATGCGGGGTGTCAAATCGTTCGCCATGCTCCTCTGTGCATCATCAAAAGGCGGTAAAGAAGAAGGTGGAGTCGAGTTTGTCCTCCCTCCACCTGGGTCTCAGCCAGGGGAACGAATATACTTTGAAGGAGAAGACTATGAGAGTGGGTCTTTTCTTATCATCTATGAAGTGAAGAACTGATATGAAGATGCTACCCCCGAATCTCAACTGAATCCAAAGAAGAAAATCTTTGAGACCATACAACCTGTCAGTTCTTCGTCTTTCTTTGAGCTCTCTTCCCACGCCCACGGTCCGCGAGCTTCTGCACTCCCCTCCACCTTCCGTCACCTCAGACATAAATGTCGGTGACATTATCCGCAGAGCTAGTGCTGTACTAAATCATCGCCCATTCAGCTCCGAGCGTTTAACATGGCTGACTTCAACAGGGATTCATCACCCTAGATAACCTCGAAGCGGCGTGGATCCACCCCGAGACGAAATCTGTTCATCGGATCCGAACCAAAGACGGTGTGTGCAAAGCCAAGAGTTTTGTTGGGGCCAGTCTTTCGTAGATATGTCATATAATGTCCATGGTGGTGATCATCTACAACATGCATAAAGTGAACCTCAGCTCAGTGTGCAGTACGAGTACTCAATGATCAATGATCAAGTGACCTGAATACCATACCTCAAACTGGCTTGACTGTCAGTGTGGGGCTCCACATCTCCTCGTCAATGACGTCCTGGTGAAACACAAGCTGAGATAGAGTAGCTTACCTTCAGACTTCAGCTGTCCTACCTACAATCAAATCACCGCTATAACTACCCATGTACAATTATACTTGTATATGATGACCATCTGACCGAACATGTCCTACGAAGAAGAACGTACCCCACTATTGGGTCCATACTCCGGTCCTTCTTCCAAGATCCTGAAAGAGGTTCGTCTGTTGAAAGTCATGTCGTATTCATCATCAAGCTGATGAACAGACTCAAGTGTACCCTCTGATACATTTAATCAGAGTTGATATCTCTGCTCATATCGGTATGTCCCTCTTGTTCTCATAAACAATAATGAGTGATCTGATAGGTAGATACACCGTTGACATATGATCAATTGTTAGCTCCAGATTCTACCTATACCATTGTCCGGTATGTCTCTTCCTTTCCCTTTCTTCCTGTCCTCAAAGTCACTCTTCCTTGACCTTGCCTCCTCTCCTTACTCCTACCCTACTTCCATCTTGGTACTATGATATCTCACCATCTTATATTTCTACCTCCTTGTGTCACCATCGTTGCTTCACTGACCCTACACCACCACCAATTCTTCGTGCTCTTTTATCTTCGACCGACGCACTGACCCCCAGACCATTGACAGATAAATATCTAGAACTCCAAAATTCAGCCATAGGTACTTCATACATCTTCTTTCATCCCCTCCTTTCAAGACATACTACATGCTGCTTCTTACGTTTACCACGCCGCCAAGCTGTTTTGTTATTTACTCGGAATGTCAACTGTGTAATTTACTAAAACCCCAGTCTTTTGCCTTCTACTGAACAAAGTTCAATTCGAACATGATTCCACTCAATTATCTATCGCTACCCTTTCTTTATCCCGTGCAACACTATGTGAAATCCTAGCCATCCGTGTTCTCCGTAAGCCCTTGCGTCTCTGTTTGAGGGTTAAGCTGAGAAACAGGCGGATGGTCAGAGAGGAGTTTACCTCTGGCAACCGTTTTGTTAACTCCCTGGGCTATGTTTCAAGGGGCTTCGGAAGAGGTGATACAACATGCTAAAGAGGAAGGGGATGATGAGTTGCTTACGCAAGGAGGGACAGCTTTGGAGGTGAGCTCTAAACTTCATGTTTATGCTCTTCCCTGCTTCACCTCTCTTCTCCCTTCCATCTCCCGACGACAACCGGTGGTAATGTTTTCGGCCGTCCCGTCCTCTTTCCCATACGAATGCACATGATGGCTATTACCTGGTGGTTGTTCATGGAATTGGAGGCGTGCCGCCTCTCGATGCTGCTTTCAGTTTCCTGACGGCTGTTCAAAATACCCCAACATTGTCCTGGTGATACTGCGAATTGACGATCACTGATCATCCTCACAGATGGCAATCATATCCTCTTCAAAGAGGTTCATTCGTTCTCCTTCTTGTCAAAAAGTCATAGGTAAGTCAGCTTGGTGGTGGTAGGGATGCAAATGAGCTGATAAAGAAGAGGGTATCTGGTCAGGAAAGATCATTTATTCAGCTATGAATACACATGCTCTCATCGCGGATAATTATAAGAGAAAACCTATACAGATGTATAATCCTCATAGAGCCCCTCTGCTTGATCATTATCGGTGAGTTATTATTCTTCCATTTTTTCGCCCCTTCATTCCACCTACCCTTTGTTGATTTAGGGGGAGAAATTATATGCATTTTTGAATCTTTGCCTGTGATGTATTCGTTGATTTCCACGCTTCGGCTACCCCAAAGCCGATCTTCTCTTATATACATACAGAGGGTCGGAGCCAGGGCTGATCACAGACTGAAAGTACCACGAATCCGGTCGATCTTGGAATACGTCAACTTCTTGATACTGTTCATCACATATGTCATCGCTCTCGAAGGACTGGCCGAGGACCACCTGAATTGGCGAGAGGTAATCTTCATCGTCTACGCATTGTCATTCTCGTTGGACAAGCTCGCCGCTGTTCGGGAGCATGGTTTGAGAGGTAAGTTGCATTACCTTCCCCAGGTCTACCTCTCCTGAAAAAGGTGGATATGAGGATTTTTGCTGTGAACCATCAGCTAACGTTTCTAGTATTTAGCAGCTCCCTGGTGAATGGCTTCGACCTCCTTTTCATGCTCATATACGCCGTGTACCTCAGTGCCCGCGCATATGGCTTCCACTACCACAGCGCCGACGCCTTGTCGCTCGGAGCCGATTGGCTAGCCATTGGCTCTGTGCTCATCTTCCCTCGACTAGCCTTCGTCACGCTCGCCAATAACCTTATGATACTCAGTCTACGATCTATGATGACGGAATTCTTCTGTAAGCTCATCCCTCTTCTTCTGACTTACGTGACTGACTTGATCAGTCCTCATGGGTGTCGGGGTGTTTTGTTTCCTTGGTGAACTTATTCTCACTCTACTGTGAAGCTCACGATCAGGATTTCTGTACGCCCTGTATACCCTCGGACAGGGCAAATTCCCTCTATCTCAGATTGGCTGGTGGTTGCTTGAAGTTTACTTCGGTCTCGATGCTTCTGGATTCGAATCTGCTCGTAAGTCATCTCAGTTCTCCTTGACGAATCTGACTTGCAGACATCTTCCACCCATTCCTCGGACCTTTACTCATGGTCGCCTATGCCTTGCTGTCGAACACTTTACTACTTACCGTACTCGTGGCCATCCTCGGGAACACGTTTGCTACCATCAGTGCTGATGCTGCGGCAGAGGTGAGCTCTCACTTCGAGTGAATGCCGGCTGACCTTTAGTCCATGTTTCGCAAAGCCGTGTCCACCATTGAAGGCGTCAAAGCAGGTGAGCTATAGGAGATGTGAGGATGTGAGCTGATCTATCAGATGCTGTCTTCAGCTACCAACTACCTTTCAATCTCGTCGCCGTGGTGTTCATGTGGCCCATGAGTTATATCCTCAATCCCAGATGGTTTCACAAAGTCAATGGTGAGCTCAATGTGTTCAGTGGTTGCGATAGCTGATACCGTACACAGTGTTCATGATCCGCGCCTCCAACTTTCCGGTCCTGCTCATCATTGGTCTATACGAGCGACAACGGTATAGAGACACTACCATGATGGAACAGATCAGCGACTTTGCCGAGCGCTACGTGGGGAGTTTACCACGGCGACTAAAATCCGCAGGTGTGTGTCATATGTCACTTGACGCCTTTGTCACGCCTCACGCCCATGTGATGAGACACTGTGCTGATTACACAGCCGGGTTTGACAATTTCGGATCACATCGCGATATTGGCGCCGTGTTTGAGATCGAACGAGAAGTCGGTTCATTCTACAAAGGGTGGGATGATGATGCTATCGATGATGAAGTTCAATTACCCGAACCTGCTGAGAATGAACCGACTGATGAGGAACGCCCTCTTTCACCTTCCCAAGCAGATGGAGACGTGTCTTCTCGAGCTCATGGTACCCCACTTTTCACTTCGTTATCGGATCCGATGACTGCGTCTCCATCCAAGCTCGAGCACCACATTCACGGTCGACAACGACGACAATCGATGCCGCCACAGCCTAGTCCCGGAGCCGGTGTCCCATTTCCAGGTTACCGACCCAGACGGAATAGCTCGATCCATGAACCATCCCCCCTGGCTCGGTTGTTTGTCAGGGACGGAGAGGAAGGGGAGAGAAAAAGACGCCGATCAAGTTTGATCAACGGTATGTCAATGTCAAACAGCGGATTGTCAAATTTGCTTTCACCGCCTAAAGGGAAGTTTAGGGGTCATCGAAAGTCTGAATCGCAAGATACCAGACGATGGAGCAAACCTGCGGTCGAGCCGATAGAAGAGGGGAAAAAAGTTTCTTTTCATGAGAGTGGGGGAGAACAGGAAGGTGATTCTTCACATCGATCGTCTGGGAATATGTTCAAGGAGGAAGGCGAGGTGGGGAAAGGTGATCAGACGGATGAAACGGAGGCAGAAGGTCGCGCGCCAAGAGTGGGGACAGCGTCAGAAGTAGAGGAAAGTGTTATGGAACGTCCTGAGGTCGAGGTTGGTGCAGTGGTCGGTATAAGGGAGAGGTTGAACCAGATGGATCAACGTCAAAGACGGATGGAAGAAATGTTGGAGAGGTTGTTACGGCGGCAGTAATACGATACTTACTGGTAACCCACTCTGTTCCAAGCATGCAAAGTAGGTTGCTCGTCACATGTGATAAATCTTACCAGTGGCCGAGTGCCAACGATGGCTTGGCTACCATCATCAGGGGGACATGCCTTTGTCTCTGATCGCATTCTATCCCGTCTCCAGCGGTCACACCCCTCAAACCGTCCCTATCCTTGTGTTCCTTTGTACCAAACAGGTAGTTGTAGCTCGGCCCTCTGTTCTGCTTGTCTACCATCTTGAATCTTACTTTGTCTCTCACCCGATTAGGCTAGAACGAGATGGATCATACACTTTAAGCCACTGATCCCACTGAAAGTCTAGATCACGTCACGTTCAGGATACCAGCCAGTAGAGTACGAGCCCTTTGAGTTTTGACCTCATTTCTTTCTTTCTTTCTTCATCATCCTTCTCCCGCTCACTAGACCTACCTTGAATTATTTGGTATACGTAGGGCATATCGATACTTCTCTCGTTTAACATTCTGTTTACTCCCCCGTCTATTGAGCTGTTCGCTTCGGTGATAGGGGAAAGGGGATAGGTGAAAGTGATACCGACGACACAGGTTTCTGTGCACTGCAAAACTACGTCAGACATAAAATAATTCTCGGTTATTCCTTTCTTCTTTGCTTCTCCCGCTTTCACGCTGTACGCTGTGCAATTGATCCCTACTATCGACATCACGTTTATCGTCATTGCCTTATTTTTATCTACTCCGACACTCCAATACTCCGACACTCCCATTCGATCGTATATATAGCTCGATCACACTACTTCAATCTCCACATTCCACATTCCACACTCTCATCTCACTCCTTCACTTTCACCCTTCTACCACTCTACCACCACTCAAGCAGATCATTAGCGATACAACAACCAAGAAGAAGAAGAACGAGTGAAGACTACCACTATTAACAAAAAAAATCCCATCGCCCCTGTCCTCCCCCTTCTAGTCCTCGAAATCTAGTAACAAAGTACAGTACAAGACGAACAGATCAATTCATCCATAATGACTAAACCTCTACCCAACCACGTTCCTACTTCCGTCGATCTCATCACGTTGAACAAGTTGAAAGCACAATACGAATCTGCTTCTCAATCACACGTTTTCACATTCTACGATACTCTTTCTCCAGAAGAACAATCCAAATTCATACAACAACTACAAGATATAGATGTTCATCGTGTTAATCGAATTTATCAAAATGCCATCAAAGCCACTTCTTCTTGTAATGAACAAGAAGAAATATCTCCTCTACCACAAGAATCATGTGCGACGATTATAAATAATCCTACTGATGAACTCAAGTGGCGTCAAATTGGTCTTAAAGCTATTTCAGAGAATAAAGTTGCAGTATTACTCATGGCTGGTGGGCAAGGTACTAGATTAGGAAGTAATTTACCAAAAGGAATGTACGATATAAAACTTCCTTCTGGTTCAACTTTATTTCAATATCAAGCGGGAAGGATTAAGAAGTTGGCTAAATTAGCAAAGGAAGCTTTTGAGAATGCGGAAGAAGTTAGGATTAGATGGTATGTCATGACTTCTGGACCTACCAGATTAGAGACTGAAAAATATTTTGAGGAAAAAAAGTTTTTCGGATTGAGGAAAGAAGATGTGGTTTTCTTTGAACAAGGTGAATATTTCTGTTTCTTCTATATTTACCTTTACTTTTCCTGTCCACTCACCTCTTTTCCTCTTGTGTTTATATATGTTGAAACAATGGTTCCAGTCTTGAACACTTGTCACATTCGTCTGATCCTCGTCCTTGAACACTTTTTGGGTATCTTGAATATTACACATTGTGAATTATCTAACTTTTTAGGTGTCCTCCCAGCTCTTTCAGAAGATGGGAAAATCCTTCTCTCCTCAACTTCTTCAGTCGCCGTCGCACCAGATGGTAACGGTGGACTCTACGCCGCACTTCGTCGTCCATTATCCCCTCATTCCACCACAACAATCCTATCAGATCTTCGTACCCACAATGTCGAATACGTTCACGTATACGGAGTCGATAATTGTTTAGTACGAGTTGCCGACCCAGTATTCATAGGTTATTGTATCTCACGAAACTCATCAATCGGTGCAAAAGTCGTTCGGAAACATCTTCCAACCGAATCCGTCGGTGTCTTAGCTAAAAAAGGAGAAACATTCACAGTTGTTGAATATTCAGAAATATCAAAAGAAAAATCTGAATCCAAACAACCCGATGGATCTTTATCATTTTGGGCGGGAAACATTGTCAATCATTTTTACACTACAACATTCTTAGAATCGATCCAACAATTGGAAAATAAAATGTGTTTTCATATCGCTCGAAAAAAAATACCTACGGTCGATCTAAAATCAGGAGGAAATATCATACCTACACAACCGAATGGTATGAAATTAGAATTATTCGTTTTTGACGTTTTCCCATTTACAAAGAATTTAAGTGTTTTAGAAGTCGATAGGAAAGAAGAATTCTCACCTTTGAAAAATTCACCTGGATCAATGACTGATAGTCCTGAAACTAGTAGAAAAGATTTATTATCTCAACAAAAAAGATGGTTGGAGAAAATCGGAGTTGAGATTAAAGATGATTTTGAAATTGAAATTTTACCTGAATGTTCTTATTCCGGTGAAGGGTTAGAATGGGTAAAAGATAAGATATTTGAAAAGACTTGTGTTTTGTTAGAAAAGAAAATTGTGGATCCTAAAGAATTGAGTTCGTATGGTTATTAAAAAAGTCATTTTCTCATTTCTTTGTTTTTTTTTCTTCAAAAGACTTGATTATAAACTACGTCGGACCGAAATCATGTATCCTCGAACACTTGTTTATACAACTCATCATACAATCGTCGATCGTCGATCGTCTATACCTTACACCGGATTCTTTCATCGGAAAATCGATTTCATGCCAGTTTTTCCCCAGTACAAAACTCCATCTGACCAACATGAATGCGGATGCGCGGGAAGAGGAGGGGACATTGAGATTATGAAATACGGATATTCGGATCGGAAGATGAGGCGATGGGAGGGTAGCATAGAGAAAACCAAGGGAGGGGAGTTGGGAAACGAGTAGAACAAGTATTTGATATTATTGTATAAAAATGATTACAGGACAATTAACAAGCTTAGAAGTTTTATGTTTCTTATTTCATGTTTGAAACAGTTTCGGTTCCCACGCATCTACGATATCATCAGTACGAGTACTCTACTTTCAACATTGTCAATTATTCGGCATGAGACGCATTATTGACTATACCCACAATCCTGTTGTACATGTCTTTCAGTCTACGAGCAGAGTACTCGAGTATGACGTACGCATGGTAGAAA